GGATGGCCTATCGTATGCCGGGACCACACTGAATGTTACTATATATTGACGATTCCTTATCAGGAAGGTTATAAATCTTCTGCTAATACAGTAGTCAATCCTTAAATACTGGCAGTCGCACGTATACTAACAATAGCGGAAGTAAATAAAATAATTTTAATCGACTAACCAAAAAGTAGACACCCGATCGAAAGATTAGCCGGTAGTATAGCGCGCTAAACAAATTTCTAATTCTTCCCACTCCTCAATGATAACATGTTTAGGGGGAAAGGGATTGTTAGTAATGGAGACTAAGAATCCCATTGCTAGCAATATACCCAACCAGGTCGACCTCCTCGCGGTTCCCCCTGGAAACTATCATGGTTAATTCCTGATGGATTCATCATGATGGGCTAACTGGCCTGTTTTCATTCTCATCTATCACCCTTCACTGGTGCTCCGCCAGCGTATCCCGTTAGCGCAGGCGGGGTTACCATACCATTTTCACCCACCAAAAAAAAAAAATAGCATGTTTAAATTTTCAAACATCTACTGTGCATCACACTGCAATCTTTATTTGCTTTTACACTTCTTACAGTTATTTATTATTTACCAAATTTTTAATATACGACTGCCGCATTTTATTTCTGCTTTTAATTTTTCTTACGCCATTCCTTTTTTTTTAGTGAAGTGATAAAACAACAAAATAGATAAGTAATCTGTATTTGTTTAGCTTCGAATTTACTGTCATATTAGTATTAATATATACTAGTATTATCACGTATTTCATCTTTTGGAGAAGATAAAAAATCTGATCTCCACTGTTGCGTTAAGCTCTATTCATACAACACCGGGATGGCCCGGGACGGTCTAAAAAAAGGGGACAGTTATTTACAATATGTGGACATTAAAACCACTGAAAACGTTAACTCTAAGCGCCATTCTCTACCTTTAAAATATTCCACTCAATTTGATATTCGAGTTAAATCATTACAAATCAATACGCACTAAAAATGTAATAAGAAATACATTAGTTTTCGAATTTCTATAACATAATAATGTCTCTTAAAATATTTAAAAAAAGTAGTTTTAGAGATAGGCTTAGAGATTAGCTCTTCAGAATCGATTGTAATATAAATATTCAGATGTTTTAATGTACACACACAATGGTGTCGGTTCTGAGGCGCTATTTCTCTAAACCTATTAACTTAATATTTTAACATGATAGTGTCACGACATTACTGTTTTATAAACTAAATTAGTAATAATTTTTACTTCAACCTATAAGAAATTTATCTCATATTGGGCCTTACAATAAAGATTTCACTGTGATGAAATAGAAATTTTATTTTTTTGAGAGGTTTAGATAAATGGCACCTCAGAATCGATCCTATTGTTAAATTTCAAAGTCTTGTTCATTTCATGTCACACACCCCGTCCGGGCCGTCACTGTGTGAACAGTGCCTTATATGAATCCATTGTAGTGGCACGGAAAGGGAGAAAGTCCGTTTTAAAACTTTCATATTAATAATATTAATGAGAACAAATATAATAAAGTCCTACTAATAATTTTCCAACGAATATTTGTAAAAAAATAATAAACTATAGATACATATATATATTTTTAAATCATCTCTAATTATATTTACAAAAGCACATCTAAAATTTTTATACCATTTTGTATACATCTATACATGTCGTTAGATGCGTCACAGTTATGTCCGTCTGTCAGTCTGACAGGACAATTTTAATATTTATAATATTCCCTGCATTGTATGTATATTTGAATCTGAGAGGTGTTCAAATTCAACTAAATTTGATTACATCTCATATTCAATGAAACAACTGCAGTGTAAGTGAATAAATCATTAATTTTAGTTAATCATTATCATTACGCCTTAGACTTTAAACGGTCACTACGCTGAGAGTATATTACACAGATTTCATTATAAACATATTTTTTTATAACCGGGATGTTTCGAAATGTGTCCAACACATTCGCTATGCAATATTTAAAGAAAAAAAATTTATTACAAGCCAGTCAACTTCGTGTAGAACGCTACCGCAACAGTACGCGGCATACCTAATATCCATAGTATACCTAATGGGTAGACGGGAGGGGGGAAAGGGATTGTTAGTAATGACGACTAGCGGCCCCATTGCTAGCAATATACCCTTATATGCTTGGTGGTAGACCTGACGGTCTACCACCAAGCAGTTTCCATAGAAACCATCGTGATTAAATCTTATTAAATTCGTCACGATGAGCTACCAATCTACCTTCATCTTCAACTATCATCTCTTACTGGCGGGGTCATCATTCTATGGTCACCCATAAAAACAAATGGGTATACGGGAAATAAGACCTCGTAAGATAGAGACAGGCCGAGTTTCAGACGTGGTGCGAAGTTACACGCAGATTAAACTAAGCATAGTCGAGACGGAAAGCAGCAAAGTTAACGATCGACGCAGACAGTGTAATGTCGACAAATAAATGTCTCTAAGAGCGTTCACTGATGTATCTTGAAGAAGTGCAGCGACATAGCGATTATCTGTTATTTTTTTAAAACAAATGAAAAAATTCCAACGCTTCCGACTGATTATTTAAAAAGTACTCTGCCTATGAACTAAAACATAAATCATGCAATAATATATTTAGTAAGTTGTCACTAAAAATTTGAATTTTGATGGCAAAAAAGTAATACTTTAGATATATTTTGTATGTGCAAAATTTTTAATGGTATATTTTTTTTTACAACACAGGGGGCAAACGAGCATGCGGCTCACCTGATGGTAAGTGACTACCGCCGCCCATGGTCACCCACAACACCTACGGCATTGCAGGTGTTCTGCCGGCCTTTTGAAAAGGAATATGCTCTTTTCTTGAAGGTTATGTTATCGTATCGGTTCAGAAATATTGCTGCTGGAAGTTGATATATTTATATGCAACGTATCCTATGATTGACGTTTTAATTCGTAGTCAAAACACTATCTAAATAACCAATTGGTAACATTGAAAATTCTTCAATTGGTTTTGAAAATTTATAGGTGATTGCAATGTATATAATACATCTAAACACTCTAACTACAATACTATATCACATTAGCCATTAATTTTCCACTGCTGAACACAGGTCTCCGTTTTTTAGAGAGTTCTGCATCATCAGGAGGGTCACGTGCGCGTTGCCAACATGGCTGCGTGGGGGGAAATGTATATGTGGGTAAAGATGTCCCTGACGGACTGACAGACTGACTTTCAGACAATCCCTATGAGGCTGGCAGTCACTCCGGTGTACTAAAGCCTCAACAAAAATTTGATTAAAAAAAATGGGGGAAAGGGATTGTTAATAATGGGGTCTTATTTTCTTATTACTAGCAATCAGGTCAACCTCCACGTGGTTCCTCTTGGAAATCATCATGGTCCATTCTAGTGGAATTCATCACAACTGGCTAACTGACCTGCTTTCATCGTCAACAGTAATCCCTCATTGCTGCCCCGCCAGCGTATACCGATAGCGTAGGCGGGGTTACCATTCCATTATCACTCATTAAAACAAAACATTGCTACATACACTCACTTTGGACGGAGCAAGAGTTACTAAGCTTAGCCGTATGTAGACAATTTGGCTGCATATGATTAAGCTCGGTAACTCGAAGTTCGCCTCTTCACAGTTATATTTTATAATATATGGATATATTAGACTCCTCATTTTCGATGTCATATCATAGGCCCTGCACATTATATTGTGCAAATTGTACCCCGGACAAATCTAAATAAAAAATAATAACAGTGTAATCTTGTACAAGACGTGATGCCGTAAACAGCCTTATTCAGACATTTGAATTACCAGCTTTGCGTTCTATTTGTAAACGAAATCTTATGAGCATCGTAAACGATCAAGCCACTTGAACCAAAAACGCGTCTATTGCACTTATAAAGAAAAAAAAGAAAACAACTTCGCCTTATTCCTCGACTTACAAGCTTCAAAAGATACGCGCTTGCTCGAGCGTTAGCGGTTCTATGGTAGTTTGGACAGTGTAACATAACAAAGAACACGCTTGCCCACAGATAATATACCCCTCCCCCCTCTATATACGTCCGTCAGTCGAAAGGAGTGCCGAGTACGAAATTAACTGACTTTTAATAACATGATACATAGTGTATCTAACTTAAGTAAATATTTGTATGATCTATGCAATACGTCCAGGGATCTATAAAATAATCTTTAAAAGTATTGTCATGACAAAATTTATCAATAAAATATAATCCTTAAGAAAATATTAACACGGTAAATATTAACTTAACACGTTAATAAACTTGCATATCTTTTTTCCAAATTGGTTATTTCATAAGAAACAATGTGATTTTAGTGCAGTACATTACAAAAAATGCAATAAAAAGAATAAATAAATGACAGATTGTGTGTATATATATATATATATATATATATATATATATATATATATATATATATATATACTGGGATATGACTGTATACTATATATATATATATATATATATATATATCCATAAATTTCTGATCTACAAATCAATATTGTATGTATGTATATATATATATATATATATACATACAGTCAAACATACAACCTCTTCCTTTTTTGAAGTTAATGAAAAAGTAACATTAGGGTCTCAATAAAGGCAACAGAAGTCAAAACATTATTTTTCATCTGTCTGTATGTTTATTCTGGCATCATACAAAAATTACTGCACCAAATTGGATGTGGATTTCAGTCGTGTTGGTAATGATCCCACATAATATATGATATATATTTATCATGTCATCTAGAAGTTCATTGATTTTCCTACTTGGGAAATACATATACAAAAAAAACTAGAATAAGAAAATTTAGGAGTTTAAATTAATAGTACCTAATAATAAAGACAGCCTAACACTAGGAGGGTATGTCTATATATCACAATATACCACATAAAGTAACTAGTCAGTCCCATCACTGACTGCACGTTGGATAAAGCCTATTAAAAAAATTCACTGTCTATATTAATCAAGTCACGATTTATCTTTTCAGTCAACCAAAATAATGACAAAATGTTAACAATACCCCTCTCTACTCACTTCAAGGAGACTAGGTTATGGTATTTTAATAAATTTTGCATACCAGTATTTTGGTGAAACATGTAGCTCAAAGTATAAGGAACAAAGGAAGAAACTACAGATTAAATATCAGACAACTGTGACAAAGTGTATGTAACTAAAATAAACTAGCCATTATGTGGCTAAACTAAATTTGAGCGAACTTTCTTGAGAACGCATCTGACGTATTTGGGGGATTCCATTGCAAACTACAATGACCATTTGGTAAAAGAATAGATGGCTATAAATACATACAATATGCAATACATCATTAGGTTTCAAAATCTAAGAATAATGGACATTTTTATTGCAAAATAAAAAAAAAAGGAAGTTAAAAATGCTAATTTTAGTCTAATAATAAACTAACAATTTTGATGTAAAATTCGAAATTTAAATGGTAGCATATAATATTTTTATTGGTAAAATTATTCGCAGAACTTTCCTTAAAATTGGTCAGAGTGACACCGGACATATTACATAGTACATTCACAAAATGATATAACAGCAACAAATATCTAAAATTATGATTATATTTACAAAATTTACACAAGAACTTTCCCTAAAGTCTGTACCCACGAGGTAAAAATGAAATATATATAATCACTGTACAATGCAGAACAGAAAAATTATCAGTATAGGATAACACTTCTGTTCCATTGTTATAAATGTGCACTTTTTATATGTGAAGCATTATTCAATGGTAAATGTGTACACGTATGTAGCAGTACAAATCAAAGGCACACAACTTCAACAGTTAATTTGTATGACATGATATTATATATCTAAAAGAAGTTTACTTTAACTATATTTTATAATATATTTTTTTTACATATTAACACTGGTACAATGTTTGTATCAAGTTACAATATTTACTTTTTAAACGCGACATGAAACAATGATAAACGACCATACATACAAAAATAACATTTGTTACTACTGTCCACTAGTGTGTTCAGGTGGAGTTAGACTAAGACAATGAGATAGAACGTAAAACCATATGTGTGTAAACTGAAAACAAAAAAAGTCAAAACAATATATAAAATTGATGGCAATCTACTGCTCTTAGCATGTTTACTCAACAAAAATTGAATAAGTATGGGAAGAACAAGGAATCACTCACTCAGTCTAACTCCACCAGTCTGCATCTGGACAAACACACACAGACACAAGAGTACACGTCACATACACGAACACTGCACTGTCACACACGGGCACTGCACAGTCAGACGCGGACGGAGGCCTAGTCGTAATCGATGTCCATGTTGTAGTTGGTGTAGTGGCGCTCCCTGTCGGCGGTGGAGTTGAGCGAGGCGGAGGAGTTGGTGGTGGCGGTGGAGTCGGAGCGCGGCGGCGCCCACAGGCCGGCGGCCGACACGGCCGTCACCGACGACGCCGGCGACGCCGACGACGAGCCCGACTCGGCGTCCCAGCGCGGCCGCGCCAGTCGCCGCACCACTACGTGAGGTAGCGACGCTGCGACCAAACATTATCACATTTACTTCACTCACAAATAATTAAATTGGTCCCTAGTTATACAACTCCTTTCAGTGTTAACAGTATACAATCTCCATGGAGTGCCGCAAAGTTGCTGGTCTGTATTAACACAAATTTGTAATAGTAAAATTAACCTCTTTTTCATTGTTTCTGCCTGCCGTAATGGAAGTCAGGCGTGACAGATATATATGGGAATGTGCAATGCACTTTAGTTGAAAAAAGCAGCAGTCGAGTTTCTTCCACGTTTTTCTCAGCTAAAATCGTATTTTAAATGGGCAACATGGGAATAAAAAAATGTTTATTCAAAAATGCTTGTAATTGAGTTTAATTGAATAAAAAAAAATTTATAAAAAAAAATCAGGAGAATTAAAAGTCAATGTACTTGAATAATAGTTTTGTAGAGTCTGCTTTTTATAACCAGCCAATGTAATTAATTAACGTAATGTTACTCTTACCTCTTCACGATAGGCTTAATAAATACTGCAGTTTAAGCAAAAAAAATCCTATTATGATTCGTGTAAGACGGGCTTTTGAATCCATAAACCACAACCAAATTTTAAATAAAGAATGCAGTTATAGAAATTAGCATTTTGAACATATAATTGCAACACTAAAAGAAATAGTAGTAAAAGTAAGCCCTTGTAATTTTGACAGTCTTTAATCTATTCTAAAACCTTAGATTATATAAATAGAGCATCGAGCCTCAAAAATGAATAAATTTTTTGTCAACTTTTAGCTAAATTAGCTGACTCTTTTTTTTTTATTAGTGTTCTATATACTTACGCACATAATGTATCTTGACGTATCTATATTTAATTATTTAATGAATAAAATGAGTTTTTTTACACATTAAAAAGATGCAAAAATTATCACACAATTGTATGAAAACGACCCGTTTTTATCGAAGCATTTCTATGGAGACACTCTATCTATATAATCTAAGCCTAAAACACCATAAAATAAACTCACTGCTGGAGGCCTCTGTGGGTGGGGGCGCGGTGGGTCGCGGTGCCTGCTGGGCGGTGTCGGCCGCCTCCTCGGAGAGCAGCGAGCGGCGGCAGATGGGGCACGTGGCGTGCAGCTGCAGCCACGGCGATATGCACGTCGAGTGGAATATGTGGTCGCACTCCAGTCGGGACACTGTTTCGCCTGAAATAATATCAACGCTATTATAATAGCTTGTAATCTGAACACATAGCCCTCTGAATGATAACCTTACTAATATTATAAATGTGAAAGTTTGTTTTTTTTACCACAAAGGTAGCAAACACATGCAGCTCGTCTGATGGTAAACGGTCACTGTAGCCTATAGACGCTTGCAACACTGGGGTTGTCATTTGCGCGATAACCTAAATATACCCTTTTTAAAGAACCCCATACTGTTGTCTCTAGGAAAAACCTCGTGTTAACTTAATACGCCTATTATTATTATTTCACACTATATAGTTAAATGTCCCGGCATAGAATAGACCATCCGTTCCTTTCCCGTGGGTGTCGCAAGAGGCGACTAAGGGAACTTACTGATAGAGGGATTAGCAGCAGCGTCCCTTTTAAAGTATCACCAAAATCTAACTGCAGTTGCCAACCCAAGCGTGGCAACTACTGTCAAACCCCCAATAAGGGGAGGCCTGTATTCGGCAGTGGACAGTTAACGGGTGATGTGATGATGTAGAAGCGAATGTTACCAATCTGGAAGTTCTCCCAGCAGACGGAGCAGGAGACGGCGGCTTCGACCTGCGCGGCGGTGACGGGCTCGCTGGGCAGCGCGGCGATCTGGTCGCGCGGCAGCGGCGGCGGCCCCGCGTTCTCCAACTGTCCCAGCAGCTGCGTCACCACTGCGTCCAGGCCTGCGCGTGTAGTGCAAATACAAGTTGAGCGAGACGCTGTTATTATATTTCCAATCGACTTAAAAAAAGATGAAGGTACTCTGTTTTTTTTTTATTACCTCACAACTCTACCAGTTGTGTACCGATCTAGTTAAAAACTCTGTTTCATTTTTGAAAACTCTATTTTTTATCTGAAAAGATGTATTTACAGATTGGTTCTATAAAATTTTTATCAAAATTGATTCAGTAACATAATTTTTATATCAAAATAGCTAGTTTCGCCATAATCGAAGTAGTTTTTTGTGGCACAAAAATTATTATATTTTAATTACTTTTGTTGATTATATTTTAATGAGGCACAAATAACAACATATAAACATATTCATTATTGTTTTTATGCTATGTTATAATTAAAAAACGTATGTATATATAACACGACTTAACATTTAGACAAAATATTTAAATTTCAAGAGTTTTATATTAGTAAATAGCTATACATTTAATATAAGAATTTAAATTGTAATATAAATAATATTCTATTTATTAAATAAAAATTAAACTATAACTGAACACATCCCTGACATGAAATGATGAAGGGAAAGTAAAAAAAATAGGCATGGAAAACCGAAATAGGCAAGCAGGGTACTCAAGAGATTATCGTCTCAGCATCAATAATTTTAAATATTTTTACACTATATTCTTTATTCTTTATTGTACACAAAAGGTTATTGAAATGGAAGAACAAACATAATAGTGCACAAAGGCGAGCTTATCTCCAATAGAGAGATTTCTTCCAGCAAACCCAATATGAGAAAACTGACAGTTCATTAGTAGTTACAGTCATACATGTGTACCAATCGACTTAAATGTTATAGTTAAAAATAAATAAATAAAATGTCTTTAGAATTGAAAAGACCGATAGGTTTTTATAAATAACTAAATATATATATATATATATATATATATATATATATATATATATATATATATATATATATATAATACACAAATATAATAAGTACATCAGCATTGTTAGTGGTAATAATTCTTCAAACGCGATTTGAAAATCCCAATGCTATCCTGTTTCGTTAAATGTTTTGACCCAGCATATAATGAGCTATCCCTTTCATTCCCGTGGGTGTCGTAAAAGGCAACTAAGGGAGGGCGAGGAATGGGCAGCAGTGTCCCTCTTAAAACATTTTTAAAAGCCTAACTAAACCAACTCGCGTGCCAAGCTTGGCAACTACTGGCAACCAAAATAAAGGGAGATCTAAGTTCGACAGTGGACGGTTAGCGGCTGATATGGATGAATACCTTACAGTACTGCTTACACTGTACAGTGTCCATACCTTCTCCACCAAAGACGTAGTCCCCGGGCGCGCCGACCAGCACGAAGGGAGCGGCAGCTGCAACGGCACCGGTGCCGCCGCGTGCGCCGCCTATCATCCACACCAACTGTTCCATCAGCGTCTCACGCCGGCCCGGGCCACTGCTTATAGAACAATACAAAACAATACAAATTAGTATGGATGCGATGTTGCTACACTTTGATAAGCTGAAGGACGAACTATGGGTGGGTAATATGGATACCGATCCGATATCTATATATTGGTTCCCACTAGACATTGATGGCAGTAAAAAGGTCATCATATCTGCCGGATATCTATTTTCGAATGTATTAAAATTCTGTTATCCAATATTTTTTTTTTTGATAACAGACTTTTAACATATACGTTATTGTACCAGTATAGAGATATTGTAACCAAAATATATAGATATTGCTATATATGACCCACTCCTAGGACGAACACTCTTAAGCTAGTAAATAAAAAATAACTTACCGCACCCGCCCGCCCGACATGAGAAACGCGAGGTCGTTTAACACTGGAGGAGCACTCTGAAATAAAATAAATTTAAAATTATGGATAATTAAGTATCAACTAATGTCGTAAAGTGAAAAAAAAAAATCCATTTCAATAAACTGAAAAATACTTGATTCATTTTATAAATTATTTAATTTACATATCTAAATTAAGTGCGAGTAACATGGAGCGCAAATACTTTATCAAACGACTTGAAAAAGGTGGTTCAAAATCCAATGTAAGTATATTTTTATGATTAATTTGGAAAATTATTTTTTTGTCTGAAAGCATATGCTTACAAATTAGTCCTATAGAAATTTTATCAAAATGGCTCCTGTAGTTTAGTTTTTAATTCAAAATAATCGGTTTTGCCAGGATTGAAGTCGATATTTTATTTTAGAACACAATCAGGCGAAACAGTATACTCTGTTATGTCCATGGTACTGCTCATGTCTACAGGCGACGGTTACCACTTTCCATCAGGTGGGCCGTCCGTCAGTTTGATTGCCATTCTAAGTTGTATAAAAAAAATCTATCCGTGCGAAGCCGAGCAAGTCGCCGATTCCTTATAAAAGAGTGACAATCAACTCAACTGTTTTACATGGCTCCACTATTTGCAAACGTTCGAATCAAATATATTTTAAATTTTATGATCTGTACTAAGCAGTACCTAGTAGTTTGTATTCACACAAATACATTATTTTATAATTAAACTTTTTGAACAAAGCAACAACTTGCTCATTCTTGTTGACTGAAATTGCATTTCGAATGGGTGGTAATGAAAAAAAAATACTATTAAAAAATGCTTTTTTTTTATACAACTTAGAATGGCAAACAAGCTGACGGCCCACCTGATGGAAAGTGGTAATCGTCACCTATAGACATGAGCAGTACCATGGACATAACAGAGTATACTATTTCGCCCATGATACCCCCCATGCGTTGCCATTCCTGAGGACTCAGGTGTTATTCCTCTGTACCCAGTAAATTCACGACATATCCCACCCTTCAAACCGAAACACAGCTGCTTCACAGTTGAAACACGAATGGGACAGAGGTACCCAAGCAATCGACTTTTGTGCAAAGTCTCCCTCTGCTTAAATCTAAGTTTATTTAAATGAAAATAATTCTTTCTTTCTTTCTTATAACTCATTCGACAGATATTCCCACAAGAGTTTCTCTACTAAGGTACTCTACTACTAAGTATATTTAAAATTTTAATTGCAAAATAATCATATAATATTGTGCAATCTGATATAGAAAAAACAAATGATATTATATATGATTAAGCCCACAATGAATAAAAATATAGTTGTTAAATTGTCGACTTATAAATTGAAACTCGTTCAGGTTGAAACAATATAAAACTAGTTTAGCAATATTTAATTTTTAAAATAGGAAAGAAAGAAGAAAATATTTTAATAATGGCGATAATGAGTTTAAAAATTCTCTACAGAGAACTCAGCAACAGGGGCTTATTTCATTTAAAAAATAAAAAAAAAAAAAAGATTTTTACACTATTTATCCATCGCGCAAAGGTAGGAGAGACGTGTTAAAAATATGAAAATGTGTTTATTTTTTTTTTTTTTTTATTAAATGAAAATGGAATGGTAATCCCGCCTGCACTAATGGGATACGCTGGCGGGGCACCAGTGAAGGGTGATCGATGAGGATGAAAACAGGCCAGTTAGCCCATCATGACGAATTCATCAAGAATTAACCATGATAGTTTCCAGGGGGAACCGCGAGGAGGTCGACCTGGTTGGATATATTGCTAGCAATGGGATTCTTAGTCTCCATTACTAACAATCCTTTTTTCCCCCCTGTATTTAGTTGTTAACAAAGTTAACGGGTCGATCAATCGTCATGAAATTTGATATACACGTAGCATTTGGAATGGACATAATCCAGATTACACGAAGTCGCGTTTAAGAACTAGTACACAATACAAATTATTGCAAAACGATGCCGTGACGTATTAGTGGGTATAAAAACAATGACGCGCAATAACCTATTATATTACTGTACATGATAACGACAAGTATTTCTCATACGACTGATAACGATAAAAGGAAAAATTGTTTGTTGCCATTTCGTATTCATTACTTACAATAGCTTTGTATACGAGAATAGGACAGTCTATAATAGCTAACGAGCCCCTCAAACGAATCGAAAACGAATCTATCAATAAAATCGATTCGATTAGCGTTTACCAGAGGGAGACTTTGTACAAAAGTCGATTGCTTGGGTATCTCTGTCCCATTCGTGTTTCAACCGTGAAGCAGTTGTGTTTGCATGGCTGTGTTTCGGTTTGAAGGGTGGGATATGTCGTGAATTTACTGGGTACAGAGGAATAACATCTGAGTCCTCAGGAACGACAACGCATGGGAGTATCATGGGCGAAACAGTATACTCCGTTATGTCCATGGTACTGCTCATGTGTATAGGCGACGGTTACCACTTTCCATAAGGTGGGCCGTCAGCTTGTTTGCCATTCTAAGTTGTATAAAAAAAAGTTAATAAAGAACAAGACAGCGCAAGTCGCCATTCTGGTGGGAAGAGATTGTTAGTAATGGGCTCTAACAGTCCCGTTGTTGTTGCTAGCAAAATACCCTATCAGGTCGACCTACACGCGGTTCCCCTAATAACCATCTTGGTTAATTCTTGAGGGATTCGTTACGATGGGCTAACTCATCTATCATCAGATAGCGCAGGCGGGGTTACCATTCCATTATCACACATTAAAAGAAAAAGTCACCATTGTATCTCATGGACTCGCTATCGTTTAGTAATGGTGCCCTTCAGGTCAACCTGCTTATAGTTTCCTTAGAAACCATGAGGATCAATTCTTGGTGAAAAAACAGATATTTTTTTTATATTGGCACTCCAGTTATAATCAGTCACGTGCTCGGTGAAGATTAGTTATTGTATTTTAGAAGATATATATATATATATATATATATATATATATATATATATATATATATATATATATATATATATATCAAATCATTATAAATGATAATGACCCTAAATAGCCAATTCATCATATTTATCTTTTTTTTTTTATAACACAAAGATCATGCGGCTCATATTATGGAAAGTTACTAACTACTACCGCCCATGAGCAATTGCATTACCAGAGGAATTGCAGGCGTACAATCAACCTTTTAACAGGCAATATGCCCTTTTCCAAAAAGTTACGATGTCGTATCGTTATCATATGAGCAAGAGATCAAAATATAGTAAATGACGCTCAAATAATCAGTTTTCTACATAGAAACACCTTTAAACAATAATTTAAAAGTGTTCCACAAAGAAACCAATTGTGGCAAATTTTTGTATAAAAACTATACCATTAAACGGATTTTGATAAAATTTATATGATAAACCAATTGAAAAGTATATCAGATATAAAAAATAATTTTCCAAATAGGTTTATAACTGACGGAGTTATGAGGTAACAAACATAAATACATAGATATAAAATAGATATAGATAGATGTTTATTACACATTCACATAAACCTACTAAAAGGATTTTAATGGAATTGTAACACAGGTAGGTTATACCTTTACTTAGCGCTTATGATACCCTATATACTGGGGATCTACCATGAAATGATATTCCGGATTTTCGAACTCAATTTCGTGTTATAATTTATACCGAAATAGACCCAGAGTAAATGGAGCTTAATATTTTGTTCGTCATAAATCCTATCTTAATCTAGAATAGAAAAGGCAAAATGCTAGGCCACCTTATACGATTGTTTAAGACCATGACGATTTTTTAAGAGCATAGTAGTAGAAGGAAAAATAGAGGGCAAAAGAGAAAGAGGAATAACTATATGGGACATATAAAAGAAACACTAGGTGTCATGTCGTATAGGGAGGTCAAGGATATGGCCTGGGATAGAGCAGGCTGGAAGATTCATAAATTAGTTACAACGACAAAAGGAAACTCTTAAATGAAAAGAGAGAGAAATCCTATCAATAAGGTCCACAAGTATACTAGTTTAACATTTTTAATATTTTTAAACGGTATATACTTATTATGTAACTTTAACTACAAATTTGTATTTCGGCCCCGAAACTTTGGAAAACATTTCATAGTAGACCCTCTGATTCACGCAGGTGAAACCACAGGACACAGTTTTTATTTGTTATTATTATTCTATAACTGCACGAGCGCAAACCCGGGGCGGATCACTAGTAAAAATTAAAACGCTGATTAATTAATTACAAGTGTAATATTGTTTCAATTTCATAAATTAAGCGGCGTCAAATATGACGTAACTACTGAGGTCAGAGTTCATAAAATCACCCAATTGGTATTCGTTTTGTACTAACGTTTAATACGGAACGTACTTTACAGTTAGGATTTTTACATTTTTCTATTTTTACAAAAAAAAAAAAAACTTAATTTATGGTCATAAAATAATTAAAGAAAAAAAAAAATTTTGTCTTTTAAAAGTGTAACCAATAATAACATTTTAAATCATATTCTAGAACTCTCCATGTGACGTAATTGTCATGGCATGTTTGTGTTAGCATAGAGTATGATTAATTATCATCTCAAATTGCATGATTGCACCATTTTATAAGAATTTACAACATATAGCAAAAAAAATAATAGGTATATAACACACCTTCATTTCCAGGAATGGCAATGCGTGAGGAATATCACGTGCATACACTTTGACACAGTTTCTGTGATGTCTATGGTACTATATCTATAGAATGATTACCAATATCCATCAGTTTGGGCATTACTATGTTTGCTATTCCCAATTGTATTTTTTTTAGATATATTATTAGAATCACAAAGGTTCACATTAATAACACACATACCTGTTTAAATTCATGTTTAAGATATAAAATGACGTGATTACAGGTAAACGGTACCTACATACCTGATTTTTATTGCAAATATTTTAAATTAAATATTTATAAACAATGTGAAAGTTTAAAATTAATGCACACTGCAATAAAATAAATAATAATAATACATTATACATATGTGTGTGAAATTTAATCACACTTAGAATCTTAGGTAAAAGGTTTTTTTTTAATGGATATAAAATATCAACAGGATATGATAGTGTGTGCACTATTAGTTGTGTACAATTAAGGAGCGATAGACGAGAATTAAGGCAGATCATCTTTTCATAATAAATTCTCTCACTGGTGCCCCACCAGCATATACTGTTAGCACAGGCAGGGTTACCACTTCATTCTCATCTATTAAAAAAAATGATGGTAGACTCCAAGAAGATCTTCTGTTTGTCTCTCAATTGTCTTTTATTTCTCAAGCAACTGCTCACTAACATTAAAAAAAAAAAATTAAACCTAATAATACTATTGATAGAGTTATTTGCCACTGGTCTAGGGGTTTTGAAATTAATAAAACTGAATATCAACAAATTACCTGATGAACATCATCTGAATCGTCCAAATTACTCATATCATCAATGTTACTCATATCATCAATATTGCTCATGTCGGCATCACTGAAGTCATCGCCTGACAGCGCCAGCACCTCTGCTTCATTCTCCAACTGTTCGATGAAACCACTTGCGCAGTATGGGCATGTGTAATCCTGAAATATTAAATAAACATGTCAGCGATCATTACACAATAAAAGAAAACTTAGAGACTTGGTATACTTTTATTTCTACTCCTATTTATAAAACTTAAAATATTACCAATAACAAATTAATTTAAGCGAGGATGGTAGACTCACCCCCTGAAACATAAAATTCTAATCGGCTTGACAAATATTGGCCATGTTGATTATTATGTTTACTATAATAACAATGCTCGACAAATGCCTTCAATATATTATAATCATAGACATATATTTATAGATATAGCCTTATTTTACCTATTAATAATAGTTTTCTAATAAAATTGCAATAAAGGAGTAAAAATTACTAAAAAGCAGTTGAATACAATCTATTTTTTAATAGCAAAATAATAATACAAATCAATCTGAATTCAATAGTGTCAGAATATAACAACATATGAAGGGTGTGGATAATCTAATGTAAAAAAGTATTACAAATATAAAGTAGGCAATACCAAGGCTATTGCTGCGGTCGCCAGTGTTACCTACGTAATGTTTACATGTAAAACCTAAATGCATTGAGCCAAGACATAAATAACTAATCAGTCTTATCCTAGCACTGATAATATAAAATTAAATATGAAACAAATGTCACAGTGAGCTGAAACACATATTACAAGCTTCAACACCTTTAAAACCCGGCTGCCAGATGCAAATTTGTCTTATTAGTCATTAAAGTGTTGTTATAATGCAATGGATCCTAAATCGATAAACATCATGGAGTATGTCATTTGTTTCTTTATGATAACATCGAGAGGAAAATCGTACGCATTACACAGACCCTAGTAATACCTTTTCAATAAAATTGTACAAAAAAATATTGATTTTTACCTGCAAAACATCTTCGAATTCAATGTTACACCTGTGGCAAAAGAACCTCGCAGCGGGCCTTCGCTCTACCATGGCATCAGCCATTGCGAAGCTTTATTCACAGTTACACGCTAACAATTAAATAACGTTTTAACTAATACTTGAAGATTGTGCTTTCAAAATGTGAACAAAAATTTATCAATCGCCATTTTTTTGAGACATGCACAATTCCATAGATAAATTTCTACTTTTTTTTTTTGCATTCTGATATAGATAATTTATACACAGATTATGAATAACCCATAGAGCAAAGCCTTATTAATTTTTTTTTATTTAAAAATAAGTTTTATTTCTAATAGTTTTACAGAATGATGCCTCAAAATTCTATGCGCTGAATTGACACTAATGACATCTCTTTCAATACCTTTTTTTTATACCACTGAAGTGGCAAACAAACATACGGCCCATCGAGAGGTCCGTGACTACTACATGGGCCGGTGCTGGCAGGGAGCCGGTCTAATTTTTTGCCATCAGATATGTTAAAGCGTAAAGCAATCATGATAAAATAACATACGGCCCACCTGATGGTAAGCGGTTACCGTAGCCTATGAACACCTGCAATACCAAAGGTATTACTCGCTTATTGCCGACACTGAAGAAACCTCTTTACACCTCTTTTGAAAAACCCCATGCTGTAGTCTCTTGAGAAAACCTCATTAGGGAGCTCATTCCATAACCTGAGTGTTCGAATTCTAAATACTATTCAAATTAACCGTTAATATTCAATTTTTATTCTCTTTTCATTTAAGAGTTTCCTCTTGTCGGTGCAACTAATTCAATTTTTATTAAATAACGAATAATAAGTTTGTATTGCAAAAAGCATTTTCATTCTCCAGTTTCTAATTAAAAATGTATTTACTATCACAAACATATAATAATTAAGTCTATGTTTATTATAATATTCCTAAATAGCAACATATACAACTATAAATATCTTAAGTACGAAAAAACTGGTACCCAGGATCATAAAACCGTTAATAAAAAAAAAACACATAACTGTCATATTCTAGGAGTTGTGTTCTTAGGTCATGGATTTTATCAAATTTTATGTTTATCCTATTGGAAATAAAAGTAGTTTGTGCTAATTTTGCAAATAATTATGTCATATTTAACTCTCTCTGCAAGTTAAATAGATCCATATGTGATGGAAAGGACTAACAGACACATGGAAAGTTTTGTGATTACTGTGATGTTATCAATTTTGTATTCAATGTATACGAATCATGCGGATTATATTTAATTCAATTATTAATCTAGTACCTTTACTTAATTTAGAATAAATATCATAGAGTTTGTTAAAGTGTTTTTTTGATAAATATTAAAGTGGGTCAGTGCAGCTCGAAAGTTTTATGATAACAATGAATGAGAAAAAGGTGCAAAACTTCACAAGTTACATCAATTCACCTGTGGTATGTTAACCTTTTTGTGATATTTTTAATGAGAATTAATTTTGCAAACTTTAATGTAGGCATTACTTTTAAGAATTAGGTTAGGAGTCTTGTTGGTAAATAGTTAATTCCATTATTTACTTACACACATCATCAGTTTTTAAGGTTTTTGTGCTACAAAAATATTTTTTTTAAATATTGATAAATTTAAAATTTAGAAGTTATGAACTTGTAGGTGGATTTGTTTAGTATATTTTTTGTTACATTTTTTGGGTTGAGGGTTGAACAATTAATTTGAATAAAAACCATTGGAGTGATTGTAAAGTAATAAGTCCCCCATAATAAGATTTGTTTCTTTAAAATTGTTCTTTTCCTGACAGTCATCACTTCAAAGTGACAGCAACTTTTAACTTTTTGTAGAATTTTAATATTATTGACTGAGTTTTGCCCTGCAATGAAAACAACATCACTTGTTAACAATTCCCTTGTAAGGTAATTTCGACTTGATGCACTAATATATGTGTTGTCAAATTATTTGAATTTAGAATGTAAAATTGGACAAATTGGAAAAACAAATTAATTTTGCCGCACTACAAACAGAATTTTGCTCCGTAAATAAAAACATTAGTAGTAATACTCTATTTACAACTCATGCAAAAAAGCATGTGATGTCTAAACAGGTTTAGGTTTTTATGGATTTTATTCTATAAAAAAAACTCACCCATCATTCTTCAATAATTCTTAAGATAATCATTTATGGTTAGATAAGTGAACTTTTGAAATCACACTTTATTTAAATCTAAAAATTTAATGTTAAGTTGGCAAGTAAAAAAATAAATTATAAGCAATATTTGAATATTAAAAGTAAGACATTTTATTTAGTATCACATGCAAAACTACTGGTACTCAGAAATGTATTTCTTTTTCAGAATAATGCAGAAAAGAATGGATCCATACAAGAAGTGAAACCAAAATTATTAAATGGTAAGCATTATCATTCAGACACACAATAGGGTCGTTAAATGCTGAATATAAGCCTTTGCCCATAAGGGGAGTTTTGCCAATAGTTGTCATGCTTAGCAGGCAGGGTGGCAATCACAGTTAGGCTTTTAGATATGTTTTAAAAGGAATGCTACTGCCTATCCCTCTACCATCAAGTTCCTTTAATTGCCTCTTACAATGCCCACTACAAAGGAAGGGGTGGCCTATTCTATGCCAGGATCAAATAGCCATGTATTTAGTTGATAGTAATAAATATTGATTGAATATGTTTAATTGAAATTGTTGCCAAATGTAAAGAATTGGAGAGTATAACGGATTTCTTAGTTTATGGTTAATAATGAATAAATAATTGTCTTGTAATAATAAAAAGCTTCCATATATTTAGATAGAAATCATGCACCATAAACTGAGAAATCCGTTATACTCCCCAACAAGAAGAAGAACAGTGACAGATAAAATAAAAATAATATATGGCTATTAAAGAAGGGTTGCAATTTTCAACATGCCCCTGGGCATTGAACGCTCTGTTTTCAACCATCTTCTTGCTCAAGGAGAGGACAAATCTGAGAAAATGATCTGTGTTTAATGTTAGAAATGTGTAGAAAAGGTGATATAACAATAATAAAGGGTATTGAATAAATAAATAAAAAAATATATTAGAATTTATGAAACTAATTCATTAATAAGAATTGCCCTATGTGAAATTGCATAACTGACAAAAGGAATTTATTGTTAATTTAATTACTTTTCAACCAAAAAGAGAAGGGTCTTTATCTAAGGGTTTTTATATCTTTCACTGCATAGTTCCGTCATTTTGAAACCAATTTGGAAAATTCTCTTTTATCTGAAAGCATATATTTTTAGACTGGTCCCATGGATTTCTTTTTCAAAATTGGTTTTGTTAGTTTAGTTTTCAGAAATCAAAATAATTAATTTTGACGCAATTGAAGGTTTTTGAAGAATAATGTACCATGTTCGTGATTCACTGTTCATCCCAAAGGTTGACTGTTAGAGAATACTAGCATTAAGGCAGCCTTTTATTTTAGTCAATAAAGTTATTATTAATATTTTTTTTTTATAAAACTCAATCTTAATTGACACTATAGTTTGCAGCTAGCCTTTTATGTGTGATAACTATTTTAGGACAGAATGGTCGAGTCCAATACATTTTGGTGTCTTTGTAGATAGATGAAAGATTAACTGACCTCAAAGATGGATCGACGCGTAGCGATGTAAAAGGAAATGCTATAAACGTCTATGAATATAAAGTACTTATAGTGTAAGACTTGACCGATGATGCAAAGTAAACAATAATGTCATTCATTATGTATGCGTTACGTATATATAACTGTATCCCTATTTATGGCTGCCTAGTACCATAAGAGAATTTATTCTTATGCTAGTACTTTATCATGGCTGTCGCATTTTTTTTTTTGTTTGTTTGTTACGCAATAACCATGCCTATTCTGATAATTCATTTTACAATCGATAAGTTCTGGGGGGAAAGGGATTGTTAGTAATGGGGTCAAATAGCCCTATTACTAGCAATATACCCTGTCAGGTCGACCTCTATGTGGTTCTGCCTGGAAACCATCGTGACTAATTCTAGTTTAATTCGTCAGGATGGGCTAACTGACCTACTTTCATCTTCATCCCTCCCTCACTGGTGCCCCGCCAGTGTATACCAATAGCGCAGACGGTGTTACCATACCATTATCACCCATTAAAAAAAAATCGATAAGGTCTTGTTGTTGTCCGTGTTGTTTCCTATTAATTTTATGACCATTACCTGTAGACGATACACAATTCCGCGTTCTAAATTCAAATAGTTATTTCAATTGTAATAATATATGTACCATCTCGTCGTTCATAGGTGCGTTTCACTCATTTTAAAATAAAAATAGGTACTTAGTTTTTTAAAAGTTGAAAATGGAATGATACTTCGCGCTATTGACTGACGGGGCTTCAGTGAAGGTGGATAGATGGGAATGAAAATAGATCAGTTAGCCCTTGGTGATTAATTCATCTAAAATAAACCACGATATATTTTTTTTGGGGTAACGGGTACTACGTGGAGGTCGATCTAGTAAGGTTTATTAATAGCAATAGAACCGTTAGTATCCATTATTATGGATAAATGGATTGTCCATTTCACCCCTAGAATACCTAGTGAGATTAATTATTATGTACTTGTTAAATATTAATGTATACTTTTAAAAACACAAATATATATACATAATAATTTAATTATAGTACGCAATCAATTGCCACATGGTCCGGGCTTAGAAAGTACGACCCCTTCCTTTCCCCTGGGTGTCGTAAGAAGTGATATAATAACGGATGAGAGAAAATCAGAAATTCTATCTGTATGTTTGTTCCGACATCATGCAAAAACTATAGCGTCAAATTGGTTATGGTTTCACAGTTGCATTCTTCAAGGTATTGGTATACTGCGTGGTCCCGGCATAAAAAGGGCCACCTTTTTCTTTCCCGTGTGTGTCGTAAGAGGCGATTAAGAGAACTTAATTGTCGATATATGAGAAACAATCAAAAACAAAAAAAAATCACCAAAGCTTAACTGCGGTTGCCAACCTGCCTGCCAAGCGTGGCAACTACTAGCAAAACCCCCAAACGGGAGGGTGTCCAACAGTGGACAGTTAGTGGTTGATATATGTGATGAATCATCCGTTACTAAAAATTTTACTTTATACCTTAATAATTTATTTTTTAAATTTAATTTGAAATAAATAGTTTGATATTGTGTGTGAATATACTTTTTTTTATACAACTTAGAATGGCAAACAAGCTGACGGCCCACCTGATGGATAGTGGTAACCGTCGCCTATAGACATGAGCAGTACCATGGACATAACAGAGTATACTGTTTCGCCCACGATACCCCCCATGCGTTGCCATTCCTGAGAACTCAGGTGTTATTCCTCTGTACCCTGTAAATTCACGCCATATCCCACCCTTCAAACCGGGAGGAAAGGGATTGTTAGTAATGGAGATTGAGAATCCCATTGCTAGCAGTATACCTAACCAGGTCGACTTCCTCACGGTTCCCCCTGGAAACTATCATGGTTAATTCCTGATGAATTCATCATGATGGGCTGATTGGCCTGTTTTCATTCTCATCTATCACCCTTCACTGGTGCTCCGCCAGCGTACCCCATTAGCGCAGGCGGGGTTACCATATCATTTTCACCCATCAAAAAAAAAACCCTTCAAACCGAATATATATATAAATGCCATATATATGATATATAAGGATCTATGCTAATCAATTAAATTCTGCGATAAAAAAAATTGAAGCAAATAATTCTATTTTGATTTAGATTAGATATTATTAGTCGCCTAATATTGAGACGTGCTACTTATTGGTACAAGCGTGTACTACGCGAAAATGTATCGATATGATTTCTTTGGCCGCCTCAAGTTATCATTGATAAAGAATTGTTCAGATATCTACCTATATATCAATCCTTGGACTTCAGACTATTTCTCTGTCACATATCTCAATCTGTTAAGTAATTTAGTCGGCTTTACATGAATGAATGGGAGGGTGAAGGGGTCTTTTTTTTTAATGGGTGAAAATGTCATGGTAAACCCGCCAGCGCTATTGGTATACGCTGCCGGGGCACCAGTGAGGGATGATAGGTGAGAATAAAAAGGCAGCTCAGTTAGTCCATCGTGACGAATTCAAGTCACGATAGTTTCCAGAGGGAACCGCGCGGAGGTACATATATATAGCAATAGCGGAGGTGGCTCCAGCAACCAGCAAAATGAATTGATTTTTTTTCTTTTTATTGTTTTTTTTTTTTATATTATTAGTGGTAACAAAGACTATTTATCTATTTACTCAATTTATAATTGAAAACAACAAATACCTGAAATAATGTGGTATAAATATAGTGGTATTGAATGTACATTACTGATAACGTTGATTAATAAGCATACATTTTATGAAGTAGGTTATCTGAACCTTGAACTTGGGTCGGAATGAACTCGTCTGAAGGACGGAAAAATGTTATTAACTATTGTAGATTGAGGTGCATAGTGACAATTTTTAATGCTAGTAATAGGGGGAAAGGGTTTATTAGTAATGGGTTCTAATAGCCCCATTGCTAGCAATGTACTTTAACAGGTCGACCTCCACGCGGTTCCTCCTGGAAACTATTGTGACTAATTTATCGTTGAACTATAGCGATGTGCTAACTGACCTGCCTTTTCATCCTCACCGATCATCCCTCACTATTTCATTATCATCCATTAAAAAAAACCTCTGTCAAAGACATAGAAACGAGCAGACACGGTCAGCAAGCTTACTATTTAAAGATAATAAATGTCGTAAACTAGGGAGTTCACCCTCATACCTTACAGTCTAAATGGTCGCGTACAACGCGGTTTCAGAGATAGTTTCTCCCACGAACACTCAGGTTATGGAATGAGCTCCCTGCCAAGATTTTCCCAAGAGACTACAGCATGGGGTTCTTCAAAAGGGGGGTAAAGAGGTTTCTTCAGGGTTGGCAACGCGCGCGTAATACCTCTGGTATTGCATGTTCATAGGCTACGGTAACCGCTTACCATCAAGTGGTTCGTATACTTGTTTGCCACCTCGGTAGTATAAAAAACAAACTCAATTTACCGGACATTAATTAAATAATTGGTTAATTAGTCATCATGTATTCCCAAAATGTTCCCGTTTAATCATCGGCAGCCGAGTGAGTTTGCTGCTGGGGTTCCCTCCAATTATGACAAATTACGTGACGCAACCTTTTCATTTGTGTATCCGCTATATACATGTACTAAGTATAACTACATGATGCATTTTTTTTTCTTATTTGACATATATATGTATACACTAGCCATCCGATCCGGTTTCACACGAGTAGACAGAATTTTCGAAAATTAATACATATAATAATAAAAGTGGCGTCCGATTCAACTGATCGATTATTTTATAGCATTTTATATGTGATTTTTTTTTTAGATTAAAATATCTTTTTTATTTATGAACCGATTGAAATAAAATAAAAACTAAATATTAAGTGGTGCAAACCGCAACGTATTAGTGAAAATCGCGTACAAATCGGTTAAGACGTTTCTGAGATTAGCGTGCACAAACGTACAGACAAATAGATGTACAGACAAAGAGACAAAAATACTAAAATTCATTGTTTTGGGTTCTATTGCGTTCATAAAGCCCCCATACAATAGGTTTTTTTTTTTATATATCTTCCATGTACAGACAGCGAGCAGTTACGATTTTATTATATGTATTGATCGTTATACTGTATGGTTCAAGCATAGGCATAATAAAAAACATACTAATCCCTTAGTTACATAATGGATGAAGAATGGGCAACAGCCTCACTCTTAAAATATCACCAAAGCCCAACTACGGTTGCTAATCCGCCTGCCAAACGTGGCAACTACTGGCAAAACTGCCCTTATGGGGGAGGCCTATGTCCAGCAGTGGACAGTTAACAGTTGATATAATAATATTGTATTTTTCATATTTTCCTTTTTTGTTAATACTAGAGGGAGACATACAAAAAATCATATGTATGGGTACTTCTGTTCTATCTATGTTCCTGCCGTGAAGTAATTGTTCTTGCATGGCTGTGTTTCACTTGAAGGGTATTACAGGGTACGGAAGCATACAATTAGGAATGACATTACATAAAAGGTACCATGACATCACATAAAAGGTACCATGACATCACATAAAAGGCACCATGACTCTATGATATCCATGGTGCTGTTCATGTCTATAGGCGAACATTACCAGTTTTCATTCGATGGGTCGTGAGCTTGTTTATTATACCAAGTATCATAAAAAATATGTATTTATTTATATTTATTCGCATGCCACGTGGTATAAATTAATTATTATAATAAGTAAGCGCATAAGACACGTGACACCCCGTAGGGGCACCTCAATTTACAGAGAGAACCACCTACTTTTAATGACAGTTAAAATCGTATTATTTTATTTATTTTTATTTATAATATTATATTATGAATAAAATTTAATAATACATATAAGCTACTCATCTTTAAAAATTCATTTAATGTATAATATGTTTTATTTATTAGGTACTTTACATTATTACATGCATCATATCTCTATGTTAAGAAATAATAGAATTTCATCGTGCCTCCGATCAAACTGTTTATAATTACTCCTCTCCATCCAAAGGTTGCCTGCAAGAGATCGCTTTTAGCAATAAGGTCGCCCATTGTTTTCTCATTGTGATTATTTCTTGTAATTGTTTATATTTATAAAAGTTTACTATTGTAATCTTTTAGAGGAAACAATAAAGAGTATCTATCTATCCATCCGTATCTTTTTTAACTCAGTTGCAAATTTTTTAGGTTTTTCTGAGTTTTTTATCTTTATATAAAAAAATAATAAAAGTGCCATGTTTATCCTATTTGTCTTCACTGCTGGCTCAATGGTAGAGGTAGGTGGAAGAAATTACAATCCATTAAAAAGCCAACTTGCAAGCTTGTTTACGGAGTAAACGTAAACAAGCAGTCGTAATAACAAATGCAATTTATCACCGTGGGTCGACTGAAGCGATGACTAACCGGTCACTTTTTTATTATCATCGATTTTAAAAAAAATACGACAAGTTAGAAAAAAAATAATTAAGAACGAGACAGACACTTCACGGCCGCCGCTTACTGCGCAAACTCTCGATTAATGCGTTCAGATATTCATAAAAAAAAAATGAAGCAATTTCTGCTCTAGTGCATACTCAAGGTTGGAGAAACTCCGTACACGAACTTTATTATTCGCCGTTTCAAGTATGGACTTATAATTCGGTATTATCGGGGGTAAAGGGATTGTTAGTAATGGAGACTGAGAATCCCATTGCTAGCAATATACCCAACCAGGTCGACCTCCTCGCGGTTCCCCCTGGAAACTATCATGGTTAACTTCTGATGAATTCATCATGATGGGCTAACTGGCCTGTTTTCATTCTCATCTATCAGCCTTCACTGGTGCTCCGCCAGCGTATCCCGTTAGCGCAGGCGGGGTTACCGTAACATTTTCACCCATCAAAAAAAAATTCGGTTTTATCTGAATCGACCCACCTGATCTAATGACGAAATTGGCGCTATTTCACAGCGCCATCTAACTTCAATAGGAGTTAATGAAAAGAGAACAAAATGTTGTTTAAATGATCACAGTAACACGCTCCAAATGAAATTAGTAACAAATAAAAATATTAAATTTTTCAATTATACCTACTACTATATATTTTTTTAATGGAATGCTATGCTAACTGTATACGCTAGGGGGGGAAGGCATTGTTAGTAATGGGGAGGTTAGTCCCCGTTGCTATCAATGTAACCTATCAAGTCGACCTCCACGCGGTTCCCCTGGAAACTATCGTGACTAATTAATCGTTGAATTCGTCACGATGGGCTAACTGATCTGTCTTTTCATCCTCACCTATCATCTGTCCCTGGTGCTCCGTCAGTACCGATAGCGTAGGCGGGTTTACCATGCCATTTTCAGTCATTAAAAAGAAACTCTATTCGCTGGCGGGGCACCAGTGAAAGATGATAGGTGAGGATGAAAGCAGGGGTCAGTTGGCCCCTCGAGACGAATTTAAGAATAATTAACTACAATGGTGTCCAGATGGAACCTGTTGGAAGTCGACCTGATAGGGTATATTGCTAGCAGTGAGGCTGTTTGGTCCCATTTCTGAAAGTCTTTTTTCCCCCACTTTGTCAGGTTGACATTCATTGACGTTCCATCAGTGTATACTGACAGGAACTATTCCATCTTCAGTCCCTCAAAAAATCTGATGTACATGTTCCAGGTGAAATAGTTGTGAGCGCAGTACATAATGTGCTGATGCTGATACCGCTCAGCGACAGCCGGCGCAGTGGCTCCCTCTTCGTCACCAACTACAAACTGTCCTTCGTGCCATACGAGCCCACGCAACACGACGTAAGTATATAAATGGTATCCGCTGTTACTTCACAAAAATTAACATAGAACTAGAATGTGAGAAAGACTCTGTTTTCCGCGCTTAGCCTCTCATTTGGGCCGTTGTGCGTTAACATAGAACTATATAAATATGCCCTAAAAATTATTTAGGGCTGTGAATTTACTTGTACTTTGTACAAAAGTCGATTGCTTACCTCTGTCCCATTCGTGTTTCAACCGCGAAAAGGTTCTGTTTGCATGGCTGTGTTTCGGTTTGAAGGGTGGGATATGGCGTGAATTTACATACAATCTTTCCGATCGCTAGTATGCTATAAAAACAGAAGTTCAATGAACTTGTAATATGCATAGTCATATGACGTATCTGTAACGTGGTTTTTCATTTATGATACATTTTTTGGTAAAAAGATAACGTCATATGTTTATGTTTATGTAGTAACAAATATCCCTATTTGAGTCACAGTTAAATATAGAAATGATTTAATACTTGAACAATGTTTGGCTATTGAAAGAAAAAATAGTGCCTAATTATTATGCCTCCCGAGTCTAAACTTAGATAAGGTATTTGTTCATAGTTGCTATCATGGTAAATATAAAATACTTTTTTATTATACAACTTAGAATGGCAAACAAGCTGACGATCCACCTGATGGAAAATGGTAACGTCGCCTATAGACATGAGCAGTACCATGGACATAACAGAGTATACTGTTTCGCCCATGATACCCCCATGCGTTGCCATCCCTGAGGACTCAGGTGTTATTCCTCTGTACCCAGTAAATTCACGCCACATCCTACCCTTCAAACCGAAACACAACCATGCAAACACAACTGCTTCACGGTTGAATCCTTTTTGCTTCGCTATAGTCGAGTGACAAACGATTAGGAAAATCTCCACCAGTGAACACAGAGTAAGATTTCCCATAGAATAAAAATAATAGAAAACTGGCATTGTTTGAAAATAGTGTGGTTTAAACTCGAACAAATTTGCTTGCATATGGTTACATATTAAAGATCCTATGCTGAATGTGACCAAGTTACCGCGATATATACATACATACATATCTGTCACTGTCTCCCATTAGGGTAGGCAGAAACAATGGAACGCCAAATGCTTCGATTCAAACAAACCTCTTTCGCTTCTTCCACATTCATCAATCTTTTCATACACGCTCGGCGGTTACGGGTACTTTTAATTTGGCCCTTACCGCGATCTCTTATAATAATTTGTTATCAATGTTTTAACCGACTTCATAAAGGAAGGAAGTTCTCTATATGATTTTTTATGGTTGTTACTTTTATTAAAGGATATATGTACTTACAAGATTGTCCCCATAGAAATTTTATCAAAATCGATCCAGTAGTTTGAATTTGCCGCAATTGAAGACAGTTTTTTTGTGGATCACAATTTTTTTAAATCAAAAATCTTTAATTTACCAATCGGATTCGAACTCACACCTTCGGCGTGTAGTAGTACAGTTTAGAAGTTTAGTAGATAGTCGTTTAATGCTTCCGAGGCACTCTTAATTAACCGACTCCAAATGTATTTGCTTTATATAGTTATAGGTACTATATGGAATGACAAGATAACGTCCTACCTGATGAAAGGTGGTGATCACTATACCGTCTATAGATACGAGCAGCGCCGTGTTCTTAATTGACTATTTTTTACGCAATATTTTTCTCAGCTGTGAATCATAAATTATGTTATTTTTTTTTCAACGAAATTTTTATCTTGAACTTCATTTTTTTTTCTCTGAGTTATATTCTTTCGTGTTTATACCATGCTACTGTGTTAGGTTGACTGAAATATATGTCTTTTAGAGATAAGTTTGCCTTTGCTAACATTGTTATTAACTTATTGTTGTTATGTTTTAGTGCAATTTAGAATATATATATATATATATATATATATATATATATATATATATATATATATATATATATATATATATATATATATATATATATATATATATATATATATATATATATACAGATGCCATGTTCTATTATGTTCAAGGAATGCGGCCAACGAAATTATTTACTCGGTCCGCACGACGTGCCCCTGACCGGGGTGGGCGCGCTCTGGATGACAGAGGGCGGGCTGGTGCGCCGCCGCCGCCTCCTACCCCACGGAGACATGCCGCAGAAGGTGAAGGGGCTTCAAGTCATATGCAAGGTAACCGAGGAGATCACGTTTAGTTTTTTTTTTTTTTTTAATAAAAAAGACGTGGCTCTCTTACAGGTGTTCATGGGTGCGACGGTAGCTTTTCATCAGGTGGTTCGACTGCTTATGCCATGAACATCTTGAGTTACACAAATTTTTTTTTTTATCACAAAGGTGTGGTATACTTTACCAGAGGGAGTCTTTGTACAAAAGTCGTTTGCTTGGACACCTCTGTCCCGTTCGTGTTTCAACCGCGAAGCAGTTCTGTTTGCATGATTGTGTTTCGGTTTAAAGGGTAAGATATGGCAGTGAATTTACAGGGTACAGAGGAATAATACCTGAGTCCTCAGAAATGGCAACGCATGGAGGGTATCATGGGCGAAACAGTATACTCTGTTATGTCCATGGTACTGCTCATGTCTATATGCGACGGTTACCACTTTCCATCAGGTGGATCGTCAGCTTGTTTGTCATTCTAAGTTGCATAAAAAAACTTGTTTGGCTTAAACTGGCTGATGGATGGTACCTATTCGAAAATCATGTCTTAATATTTGTTTGTTAAACATTGTAAAAACGAATTTAAAGACAAATCTTTATATTTAAATAAACTTGACACATGTTAATATGCGTAAATAAAAAAAAAATACCAACAATTTAGATCTTTAATCTTGTTTCAACTTAGATTTATCAGTCAGACATCCGCTTATCAATTGTTGAACGAAAGCTGAGATAGGCTCGTGTGGCTAAGTATACATATAAACATATATATATATATATAGGCACTGTGTAGTTTCTAGAAAACTAGACTATTTTTGTATTGAATCAAAATATAGATATAATAGTTGATTTTAAAGAAGGCATTGCTTGGTCATATTTATATGGTGGCATGGTCATAACCATGGATAAATAAAATAGAAAACGGGCACGACGACTAGTACTCCCAGTAAAGTAGTAGTAAGTACTAGTACAATATAAATAATAGTGGCTAATTATAAAAAACTCGACACTTAGAACAAAAGTTATGTGAATTAATAAAAATCATTTGTTACAAAAAAAAATAGTTTTTAAATAAAATATGTTTTTATTGAGATTCTCTATACGATAAAAGAAGGCAATGGAGAGTTCTTTTATATTAAAAAAATACTTATTTATTTTATTTATTTTATTTATTTTACACTTTATTGCACCAACATAACATGATTTGTTGAACAATTTTCAATACGTTTAGTGTAGTACAAAAGACCATATTGATTCCATAAAATAGGTACACTTCAATTTCCATTTGTTTCCAGAACATGAAAGTCTTGACCTTCAGCTTTGCGAACTCTTCAGTGGGCAACGGCCGCAAGATCGCGCTCACGCTGCTACACCACGCGTTCCCCAAACGTCACCACTTACTCTTCGCGTACGAATACAAGGAACCCTACTACCGGACCCTGCCCACAGACCTGAACATGTTCGATAGAACTACAGACTGGAAGAAGGAATTAGAACGCTGCGACTGCCCCCATTGGAGAATAACCCTCATCAATGGTACCACGGACGCGTTCATGCTGTCTGGTCCACCTACCCTCATAGTGCCGATGTCCTTACTGGACTGCAAGCTGCTCGAGTACGCCAGGCATTACAAGAGTGGAAGGATACCGATCTGGGTGTGGGGAAGGCCGGAAGGTGCGGCGTTGCTGCGGAGCGGTGAATTACTGCCGACCGACCAAGCGATGAAGATTGAAAGCGTCCTGCTAGAACAGGTATGTCATGTCACCAAGACAAATGGTGGTAACATAATATTTAAAACAAATATTAATTTAACATATTTCGTAGAAACCGTTCATCAAAATACGATTTATTACTTTTTTTTCATGGTATAAAATTGAAATGAAGTTGAAAAAATGGTAACCATAACTTTACCATGGAATCGTAAGAACTATCACACATATTAGAATTATTATACTTATTGATACATTAAAATAATTGACTTTATTTATTTAAATGTTTTTATTGATGATTGATGACTCGACAATTTACTGCATAATTGTTTTATTATAAATACAGCTTCAAATATTGCTCGTTTCGAAAATTCTTCTTTAGCTTAATAATTATTGAAATACGATTTACATCATCATCAACATCTCAGCCATTTTCTGTCCACTTCTGAACATAAACCTCCCCCATAGACTACCATAAGGAACGATCCTGAACCACCTACATCCACTGACTCTCTATAATACATTCGATTGTCACTCCATCTAGTAAGGGTTCACCTTACACTGCGTTTACCTGTACAATGTCGCCACTCAAGAACCTTTCTTTCCCCTATGGGTTATCGGTTCGAGCTATGTGACCAGCCCATTGCCACTAGCTTGCTTATCCTTCAGGCTATGTCGGTGACTTTAGTTCTTTTGCAGGTATCCTCGTTTCGGATTCTATCATGCAAAGTAACTGAGCATAGCCCTCTTCTTAGCTCGCTAATTTGAAGCTTTTGCATACGGACAACCATGTAGAATTTACATATGTTAATAATATTTCAATATATGATAGATAGATAGATAATTTATTTACATTACTTACAGCACACAAATTACAATAAACAAAAAAAAAACATACACATAATACACAGCAAAAGAGATAAAGGAATGAAAATAAAAAAGCACAAATAAAAAAAAAAAAACTAAAAAATCAAAATATATTAACAAACAATCTCCTTTCTTTCCCTTCCTTCATGCGTGTGCCATATTAACACAAAATGGTCACAGCTCAGTTTATATTTATATATTTATTTGTTTAGGCCATAAGAGCAACAAAGCATACACTTTTATCAACTTTGTTTGTTTTTGTTATTTACTTAATTTTCTTACACTGTATAATTATGTTAAAGTGAATGCTGTGAATACCTATAATAGGCATGTGCATTAATATTGTATTGTATTTAATGTTGTTACACCTATATGTTATAATGCAATATGCTGTTGGTGTTCCTTAAATAAATAAATAAACTTTAAATACATGTTAAGGTTACATTTCGATGTGCTTTCTTTTAATTGATCTTCAGAATGTGACACCAAGTCTGGTAATACACGTGACTATGTAATATGGCAGGTGCGTAAGAGTCACCCGACGCTGGTGCCGCTCAACGTGATATACCTGTGCGGGAACAGCTACTCCAACACGGTGGGGCCCAACACGCTGCCGCCCCTCGCCACGCTACAATCCTCGTACAAGAAACTGGTCGACCTCTGCACGCCCACGACCCTCAGCAGTTTCTGGGTGAGTTTGGTGGGCTATGGCAGTCATTGGAACTACACGAAATGTGTTCAATAAATTATTTATTTATTATTATTTTTAGTCAAATTATACCCATCTTGAGCCATAAATAGTTTTCACGAATTTCATGGCATGTCATGTATAAATTCATGAATTATGTGCTTGTAATGGTGAATAATAATCATGATTAATAATTAAATAATTTATCTATCTATGTATTCCCAGGAACAAGACTCCAAGTACTACTTGATCCTGGAGTCGAGCCGGTGGCTGCGCTACGTGGCGAACTGCTTGGCGTTCGCCGACGAGGCGGCGGAATATCTCGCCAAGAATGTCACTGTCGTCCTGCTAGAAGGTAGTGCTATATCTTAACAATATTACTGCTGCAACTTGATTCTTGTCTTGGTGCGTTCGTATCAGTATTTACATTGAGCTAAACTGGCCGCTTGGTCCCAGCATAGAATAAGCCACCCCTTCCTTTCTCTTGAGTATCGTAAGAGACGACTAAAGGAGGGCGAGGAATGACCAGCAGTGTCCCTCTTAAAACATCTCTAAAATGGATGTGGCGTGAATTTACAAGGTATAGAGGAATAACATCTAAGTCCTCTGGAATGGCAACGCATGGGGCGTATCATGGGCGAATCAGTATACTCTGTTATGTCCATGGTACTGCTCATGTCTATAGGCGACGGTTACCATTTTCAATCATGTGGGCCGTCAGCTTGTTTGCCATTCTAAGTTGTATAAAAAAAAACCTAACTGCATTTGCCAATCTTCTTTACAAACATGCCAACTACTGGCAAAACCCTCAAAGGCGAGGCTTATGTTCAGCAGTGGACGTTTAAAGGCTGATATGATGATGATGATGATGATAAAACTGCAGATCAGCATATTAATACGAGTTTAAGACAGCCTAGATGAAGTCATATTCGTGAACACGTATTTTTAAGGCATTGTCCTGTTTAATAATACTACAAATGGTCATAATTGGGGGGGAAAGGGATTGTTAGTAATGGAGTTTGACAGCCCCATTGCTAGCAATATGCCTTATTAGGTCGACCTCCACGTGGTTCCCCTGGAAACCATCGTGAACAATTCTTGTTGAATTCGTCACGATGGGCTAACTGACCTGCTTCATCCTCACCTATCATCTTTCACTGGTGCCCCGCCTGTGTATACCGATAGCGCGGGTGGGGTTACCATTCCATTATCATCCATTAAAAAAAAATGGTCATAATTAAATGTTATCCTGTCGTCAGGCGAAGGCGTAGACTACTGCGCGGTGGTGTCCTCCCTCACGCAGCTGCTAGTGGACCCCCACTACCGCACCATATCTGGCTTCCAGTCGCTCATACAAAAAGAGTGGATCGCGCTCGGCCATCCCTTCTGTGATAGGTATTGTTATAATAATTGACATTATTCTCAAAGTCGATTGCTTGGGTACCTCTGTCCCATTCGTGTTTCAACCGTGAAGCAGTTGTGTTTGCATGGCTGTGTTTCGGTTTGAAGGGTGGGATATGGCGTGAATTTACTGGGTACAGAGGAATAACACCTGAGTCTCAGTAATGGCAACGCATGGGGGGTATCATGGGGGAACAGTATACTCTGTTATGTCCATGGTACTGCTCATGTCTATAGGCGTCGGCTACCACTTTCCATCAGGTGGGCCGTCAGCTTGTTTGCCATTCTAAGTTGTATAAAAAAAAAATTATATTATTCAACACACAACTCATCCGAAGTTTTTTTTTTTTTTCTAATGTGTACGAATTCGGTATTTCACTTATGAAACCGATCACAAAATGATGTTACTTTATTTTGATGTAATAATTACAAGACACGGGCTCATGTCTAGGCAAACCCCCACCCAACAAGGGGACTTATATTCAATAGTGGACATGTGACGTGGTGATATCGAAATTTTTTTTTGATGGGTGAAAATGGTATTGTAATCCTGCCTGCGCTAACGCTGGCGGAGCACCAGTGAAGGGTGATAGATGAGAATGAAAACAGGCCAGTTAGCCCATCATGATAAATTCAACAGGAATTAACCATGATAGTTTCCAGGGAGAACCGCGAGGAGGTCGACCTGATTGAGTATATCGCTAGCAATGGGATTCTCAGTCTCCATTACTAAAAATCCCTTTCCCCCCGGTGATATCGACATTAGGTGACTTAATACACACCTGGGTCATAAGTTATGACTAAGTTGTACGTAAAACGGGGATCTCCCCGTAGTTCACTTCTTGTTAAAGTTGTAAACCTGGTGTACGTGGGTAGGTTCGGGCTGCCGAGGCCCGGCGCGAGCGACATCCCGGACAGCGGGCGCGGCGGCGCGCGGGGCGAGGCCGGCGGCCGCGACACCGCGCAGACGGCACCCGTGTTCCTGCTGTTCCTGGACTGCGTGTGGCAGCTGCTGCAGCAGTTCCCCTCGCACTTCCAGTTCACCGAGACCTACCTCACCACGCTCTGGGACTGCACGCACAACCACGTCTTCGACACCTTCCTCTTCAACTGCCCCAGGGATCGCGACCCGGGCATAACTAAGGTGAGTCGCGTTTAGATTGAAACAGAGCGAGATTGTATGATATAATGTGTTTTTTATGCTTTTTTTTATAATTTTTTTTTAACTTATTAACTATAGAAACTATAGAACTATAGAATAGAACAGTATCATAGATATCACAGAATATTCTGTGACACCCTTAGTTAGCGATGCGGATTACTAATTCGACTACTAACTATTCGATTGAACAATTCATTCGGATTATTGGTATGATTTGAATATCATTCTACTACTAATTTCATTCAACTATAAATTTGGTGAAGTTTATCAAAAAACAAGATTAATAGATACAATGTTTTTTGTCAACAGAACTTCATCCAACGACCAGTATGGGACTGGAGCGAACAATTTTCCGATCAAGACAAAGCGCTTTTCTATAATCCATTGTATGGGGTTTGCAATTTTATGCCGACGCCGAAACAACGGTTATGTAAGTATAAGTTATACACAACTTGGATTAGTTTATTTTTAGATTTAATTCAACAATTCAGTAAGTACTAAAAATCTATGAGGATTTCTATATTATTATTTGATAAATTATATATCCGGCTCGAAGGACCATAAAGAAAGAAAGGAGTTTGTTCCTACTACCTTTCATTTTAGAAATTATGTCTGTCTACGATATATTAGAATAAATACACCTGAATCATTTTATTTTATCACTATGTGTAAATTATCACTTATTTGTCAAGCTCGCTTGTCCCTTTTGGTTTTTTATGACGTTAACCATATATGTTATAGTAAATATGAATGATGGTCCTGCAGCAATGTCGGCGATGGCGGCGGCGAATGCAAGCAAGCAGGCGGGCAGCGGTCGCGGCGCGGGAGGGCCGGAGCTGCAGCGGCTGCGGCCGGCGGCGGGCGCGGGCGCGGGCGGCGTGGAGCTGTGGGCGCAGTGCTACGAGCGCTGGCTGCCGCCGCTCGACGCGCTGCACGCGGGGCCCGTGCAGCGGCACGTGCGCCACTACGCGCTGCGCGACCAGGTGCCGCCATCTAGCTACCCCCTCCACCTGCCATAACTACTCCTGTCTATCGCTGCATCCTCCTCTACATCCCTACGCCCTCCACTTTTTATAGCTTTTTATCCACTTCAGTGGTCCCCGAGGGTAAAAGCCTCCTCCATCTTTTTCCACTTCCCCTTATCTGTAGCAATATTTGTCCAGTTTTTTCCCTGCTGTCTTTATTATGTCATCTGCCCTTCTCTTTCTTCGCCTTCCAACATTTATTTTCCTGCTGGACCTCGCCATTTTGTTGTTTGGAGAGTCCACCTTTTATCTTTGTACCTCGCTATATGACCTGCCCGTCTCCACTTCTGTTTCATACTATACTGTAGAGCATCTGTTATTTTAGTTTTCTTCCTAGTAACAGTGTTTCTTATTTTCTGCATTTTTGTTAACTTTAAGATACTTCTTTCCACGTATATAATACGTCCTCCACTTGCCCATCATCAATCCCTCTATCTACTCATCTCCCCCACCTCAAAGGAGGGGGGATATTAATAGTTAGCGAATATCATCAGGATAAACCAACTGTCTTAACTTCATACCTCACTGGTAGCCCACCAGCATATATCAATAGCGCAGGTCGAAGTATAATATCATTCCAGTTTCAGCTGGTAAAAACCACAACCTGTACACCAGCCTCGTACAGTACGACACATGATACCACAACAACATTCACATTTCAGATCCAGCGGCTGAGTGAGAAACTGTCGTCGCTCTCAATCCTGAGCAACCGGCAGTCCAACGGCAGCGAAGTGGAGCCCGTGCGGCTACAGCCCGTCTCCAGATTCTACCCGTTCAGCCAGTACCGGACCGAAGCAGTCGCCGGCACGCTCGACGCCATGCAAGTATGTCATTCACTCAGTTCACACAAATAAACTGAGTATTTTGACCGAAGATCTTCAACTCTTTACTGTCGCATCACACTCTTTAATTCAATAGACAGCTTCTAAACAAGCTGATTTACGATTGATTTAAAAAAGATTAAGTTCCTTTGGGGTTCGAAAAATCATTTTTTGCCAGCTCTCTTTTTCTCGCTCTCTCTCTCTCTCTCTTTCTCTTCTCTCTCTCTCTCTCTCTCTCTCTCTCTCTCTCTCTCTCTCTCTCTCTCTCTCTCTCTCTCTCTCTCTCTCTCTCTTCTCTCTCTCTCTTCTCTCTCTCTCTCTTCTCTCTCTCTCTCTTCTCTCTCTCTCTCTCTCTCTCTCTCTCTCTCTCTCTCTTTCTCTCTCTCTGTGTCTCTCGCTCTTTTTCACTCGTTTTCTTTCTCTCTCTCTCTCTACGCCAAACTTCCTTTGGCCTAATGAAGACTAACCCCTTATTCGTAAAAACTAAAACGTACTACAAACTTATTTTAATTATTGAATTATTTTGTTACTTTCTTACAAGTTAGGAATGTAGCATAAAAGAAAGAAAACTGTTCAATGGCTAAAATAGGTTTTTGATTAAAAGAATAACAGTAAACATTAGTGTTATTCTTTGTCAACGATATAATAAAGTTATCTATTAATGAGATTAAAATTGAAATCTAGTTAAATTTAATTAAAATATGAACTGCATCCCACAGGTAAGCCTCATCGATGCCAGCCAACTAATCGACTCGCAGTCACTACTCAACGCGCCCGACTAACGTCCGCACGTACTCGGTAAATGTACATTAACACTACGTACATACATAATGGTAATATCATTATTACATTGTGGTAATTTCTCGAAATAGTCAATTTCAACACTGAATAGGTAATATGTTGAAAATATCAGAAATTCCACGTTCCATCGATTAATTAAATAATATTGTTTGTTAAATATTGTATTCTTATTTTAACGTGTTTGTTTACATCGCAGTTAACTTGTGTGTGCAATAAAGTTCACCATCTATATTATAACATTATTGGTGGATTATGGGAAACAAGTGTAAAAAGTATTAATTATGAAATGGAAGGGTCGTAATTCAGAGTTTTTAGAACAACATTTTTTTAGATTCTGAGTTTTCATTTTTTTGTTAAAATTCAAACGCTTTTTTGCATTATCACTTGATACAGTTTTGTAACATACTGATTCTCAAAATCGATTCAGATTTGGCGCGAAAATATCGCGTTAAAATTAAATAATTATTAAGAAACCAGTCATTGTTAGTGCAATTGACCCAAATCGAAACATCATCACATTTGACAAATGTGAATTGATTTTGATAACAAAAGATTTTGCAGTACTGTACATAACCTTAACCATTACGTAAATCCATGATTTTCATCCATTGAATTCGATATAAAAATGTAAATATTTTTTTATTTCAATTGTGGTCTGTAAAAAAATTGTTAGTGGAAAAAGATTGAATTAAATGTATATTCCGTAGAACAAAATAGCAATATTTTTATATATATATTGATATTTAACCACAATAATTTGTGGTTATTAAAATAATATCGGAGCGTATTAACATATTCAGCTATTTTTTATTGCATGTAAGCAATTAGTGTCTGTAAATTCGTTAAAAAATTGCACATTTATTGTGACTACACCACTAGGGATTCATGTCGTTAGTCGATTGTACCATCAGGAGATTTGTTCGTTAGTTTCATCAGGGATGTCGTCTATCGATTACATCACCAGGATGGACATCAATCCCAGGGGGTGACACCCATCCTGGTGTATTGATGTCACCACTAAGGTAGTTTATCAACGTCATCATCAGGAGTGCGTTTGACAATGTCACCATCAGGGATGTCGTTTATCGATGTCACCATTAAGGTTATTGTTTGTTAATGACAGAATTTGGACAAATATATCGTTTCATAATCATGTGTATTTTATACAATTTAGAAACGCAAAGAACTAGTAGCATGATAACGCAATAAATATAACAAAACTAAACTATAACTATACACTGGTGATATTATCAGCAAATCATGTTATGGATGTCACACCTGGGGATGACGTTGAGTGGAGTCGGTACCAATAGACATGTTATGCGGTTGTCAATCACATGGTTGACGGTAACACGACAGAACGCCTTAGATATGAACATATATTTTATAATAAATATAAAAGTATTTTAGAATTAGGCCATTCCATTATATTTTTTTGTTTATTATTATTATTGTAATGCAAGATATTTATTTTTATTATTTTAAAAATTACCAGAGGGATACTTTGTACAAAAGTCGTTTGCTTGGACACCTCTGTCGCATTCGTGTTTTTACCGTGAAGCAGTTGTGTTTGCATGGCTGTGTTTCGGTGTGAAGGGTGGGATATGACAGTGAATTTACAGGGCACAGAGCCATAACACCTGAGTCCTTAGGAATGGCAACGCATGGGGGGTATCATGAGCGAAACAGTATACTCTGCTATGTCCATGGTACTGCTCCTGTCTATAGGCGACGGTTACCGCTTTCCATCAGATGGGCCGTCAGCTTGCTTGCCATTCTAAGTTGCATAAAAAAAAAGAAAAAATTAAAATGATAAATAATGCATTAGTACTAAAATAACTATCGATGCAATATCGATTGTATGAATGTATATTACAATATTAATAATATTAAAGGATGGTTAATTTAAACATTATGAAAATATGAAATTTCATGCACATACCCCCCCCCTTAGTTATGGTGATAAAACTTATCTTTAAACTACTACCTGCAACTTACCCTGTTACCAATTTATCACTTATGATTTTACGTATTTATGACTTATGTACAAAGATTAAATATTTAACATATAAGCTTAACCCTGTTGTAAATACGGCAGCTAACCTAGTGTTTGTTATTAATTTATCATTAAGTTTCCTTTAAATCTGTAGGACTGCATTTATAAGAAGCTTTCTAGAAATTATTTTAATATTCATTACAAAGGGTGCTTGGATTGAGTTTTGTATACAATTTGTATAGGCCAAGCATTGAAGGATCATACAGTATCGCATCGTCACCGCTTCTGTAATATTTTAAATAAACTGCGGTTGTTCAAAATATTATTAAAAGGCCGGCAGCACACCTGCAATGCCGCTGGTGTTGTGGGTGATCATGGGCGGAGGTAGTCACTTACCATCAGGTGAGCCGCATGTTCGTTTGCCCCCTGTGTTGTAAAAAAAAAAGAAACATTAAAAGGGAACACTCGTTAATTGTGAGGAATTAGATATTTAAAGTATTCTGCCGAAGTCATTTTCTCATTGTAATTCATTTATTTAATTCTAGCGGCTCGGCCCGACTTCGCATGGGTGGATCTCTAATTTTCTTTTTTAAAACCTTAATACAACCCATGTAGGTTTCTATAGATGAAAGATTTTTTTAAATTGGTTAGTTTCTATTTTTTTTTTTTCTCTTTTATAATATTAGTTTAAAAAAAGATAACCAGTGAAATTATGGAATTTAAAATATTGAGCGTGATTTAAATTAGTATTATGGAAAAGTCTTTTAAATTGTATAAGTTAGTGTATTTTTTTTTTTTTTTATAATTATATAAATTGTGTTATTAAAACGAATAAATGTTTTCGAAAAAAAATTAAGTCATGTAACTGGTATTAAGTAAAATATAAAAATTGGAATATTTTAAATATAAAACTGTGATTTCGAAGCATTTGGCGTTCCATTGTTGCTACCTACCCTAATGGGAGACAGGCGTGACAGATATGTATGTATATATGCATGATTTCGAAATTTGTACAATGACATCGAGGTCTGTTCGGAGGCGCCATTCTCTAAAACTAATATTTTAATTTGATTGTTTCACAAAATTAATATTTTACACTTTTTAATTTAAACTAAATTTACAAAAATTTTATTTAAATTTATTACAAATTTAATTTATATTGGTCTTTTAAATAAAGACTTCGCTGTGATATCAAATTGAAATTTTAATTTTAGAGATATAGAAATAGAGAAGTAGCGCCTCAGAATCGACCCCATTATCAGTACTCAATACAGACTCCGCGAACATTATTCAGTCCTACAAATTTATATATATATATATATATATATATATATATATATATATATATATAAATTTGTAAATATGAATATACCAAGCTAGAACTATCGATCCTCATCGACTGATATATCGGTCCAAACCGGTGAACTGTTATAATTAGTCGATAATATAATAAAATGTATTTTATTCGAATGAGCAAACTAAATTAGCATTGTTGACTTGTTAAAATGAGCACTAGGTCGCTCCCTGATTTGTCCGTACGATATTGTATTGCCATTATTTAAATAAAATGTTAATCTTCTACATTATTGATTGTCTACTTTAACATGGCACGCCCCTTCAAATTTTTTCTTCAATTTGTATAAGCATATACAGACGTTGTGCTCTGTTTTTGTGAGGAATAGTTTTTAAAAGCGGTCCGGTCAAACGAGTATTGTGTTCCTTAGTAGAAATCTTGTAAATATTTTTACTCACACGTTTTTAGTTCTTTGAATTTTAGAGGGGCGTGCCATGTCATCGTAGACGATCTATACCTGTTGTAACTATTGGGCTGTATCGTCACTTACTTTCAAATTGTGAAATTAGCACAAAAAAAAGAGATACAAATCGCTTTAGATAACTAATAGTATATTACTGCAGCGGCCAGCAAATGAGGCTTTGATGGACGAACGCGCAAATGTGGGCCGAGACGAAGCCGAGGCACACATACGTGAGTCCATCAATGTCTAGTTGTGGCCAAGGCTTGTATAGTACTTTTCTCAAACAATGCGCGGAAATCAAAAACACTATTTTATTTTTTAAGTTTAATGACGAATAACGAACAATAATAATTTTTCACACGCCATAATGTTCCTTTGTTTTTTTTTTTCAATAAACAGATTTCTATTTGCGAGACAGTTCGAAATTTAAATAAAACTTTATTAGTTGTCTCCTTAGTAGCCATGTTTCGAATTAAAAGGTCATTCCATTTTTAAATTACAGGACAGATATGAGTTTACATAGTAATTTATCTGACCGCAAAACACGACAGATATAGATTTTCATACAACTTTTGCCGGCCGCTGCTCGCATGTATCTGGCCAGTACGGCAATTTTGATTTATCTCTAAGAAGATTGTCAAAATAATGCTCACATTTCTTAGCATGTTTGAGAAAAATACATTTACGAGAAGGTTGTTAATTTCCAAATAAGGAGATTGCTCCTTATAATAAATTGCGCAGTAATTACACAGTTTAGTCGTGATATAGAAGCTTATTGTTCACACGAACTGATGATAACGATATTTTGCCCATCTCTCTCTTTTCATTTAAGAGTTTCTTCTTGTTGATGCAACTAATTCATGCATTGTCTTCCAGCCAGCTCTATTCCGGCCCATATCATTGCCTTTCCTATACGACATGACACCTAGTGTTTCCTTTATCTGTCCCATATAGTTCTTCCTCGGTCTTCTCCTTCCTCTTTTGCCCTCTATTTTTCCTTCTACTATGCTCTTTAAAAATTGTCATGTCGTGGCCAGTGGTTAAGGTGGCCTAGCATTTTTCCTCTTCTATTCTCTATTGTTTTTATGTATGTATATATGTAAACGGAGAACAGTATACAGACGTGTGTAGTATCATATCTTTTCTAGTATATTATACATATATAATATACTACGAATATTATACATTACCCTCTAATCAATTTCTTCACACTGCATTAGATTGGCTGGAAAAGATTTCTACCATAGATATAATTTCGATCCTTAAAGCCTACCAGCGTCTAGCATATACTCGCAAGCTATATGCTCATATTTGGTGTATTGAGAAGTCAGGAAGTGACCGTCTGTACATTAATATTTTTATAGCAATGTAAGTTGGACATAACAATATTGATGTAATTAATAATTTTACGAATGTTATGAATGTAAAGAAAATTAATATAATTGTGAAAAGAAATAATGCTTTTGTAACATATTTATTGCCTATTTCAACTCAATAGCCACGGTGTTTTAGTGCCATTGAATGAGACCATTACGTTTTAGTGAGCTTGATTTATGCAATAGTAATGTGTAACCGTAACCTCGTGTAGTGGCAGTTAATAAAGTATTCCATGTACCAAATTCTGTTGTTAGATAGTACCTGATAACGTGAAATGCAAGAATGTTCAAAAGCAAGAAATAAAAAATATTGTGAAATAAATGTTCATTTATTTACATTATATTTATGTATATTTTGCTATAATTATAGGTATAACAATTAACTATAATAAAAACGTATTACACTACCATACACACTAACACACAAGCATGCACGCAACAAACGTACCCACGCGCGCAAATGCACGCACACACGTACGTGCACACATACATATGCACACTCACACACACACGCACACACATATGCACGCACACTTACACACACACCGCACACATGCACGCACACCTACACACACATACAAACTACAACTAATACAATTCATAGTACCTACTTCTATAGTGACAAATATTTGAACAAAACCAGCCAAACTTGGCAACTACTGGCAACACCCCTTTATGGGGGAGGCTTATGTTCAGCAATAGACAACGGCTGATGTGATGTTTATATTATCTATCATTGGAGATCCATTGTGAATAAATATCTTTCACAATCTAAACATTCGTAGAATTACGAAGGAAATATACTGGCCAGGAGGTGGATATGTGTAACACAATCTCTTATAGGACTTTTGAACTATCCAAAGAAACCTGGACAAATAAAGCTGTAGCTTAGATGTTTTTTATCTATATCGTGGACTTCGCATATTTATGTGTTAGGGTAGGTGTTCTTTATTTCGAAGTCTAAAATTATAGGTACATGAACAAAGTCACAAAATTGGGACATCTTAAGCAACAGTACTTTGTAATTTCACTTTTCGAAACGAATTACAAGCAAGTAAACTTAGAGTAGGGGAATGCTTAATGGGGGCTGGCCTTCCTATTGCTAGTTATATATCCTGTCAAGTAATTTACACACGTAATTCACCCTGGAAATAATCATGGTCAATTCCTCGTGCATTCGTCACGATACACACTGACTTGACTTCATTAAACCTCATCTCTTAACATTCACTACCCCGCCAACGTAAACCGATAGCTCAGACGTTGTTGCCCTTCTATTGTAATATAATAAAAAAAAAAAAACTATATTGGCGGGAAAAAGTAATGAATATTTGAAAGGCGTCATTAGCTTTGGATTATGGCATTACGCTGGATTATCTGAAGATTTTGCAGCTTTCAATTTCTTCGTTTTATCAAACTGTTTCTTCGCTATGCGGAACCTGTTCAACAAGAGTGTACGCTGCCAGCTCCAAGTTGACCAACGCTGAAATTAACCCAATAGCAAATTTACTTTTAGTAGGCAAAGTTAAAATGTTATAGCAACACCAATATAAAGAATCGAGAGAATCTAAAGAAATTTAAATATATATATATATAAATTTATATATATTTTTTTATTTATTAGGCTTTGACCAGAAAGCATCAGCCACAAAATCATTAATTACATAAAGTTTTTTTTTTTTTTTTAATTTGGACTCCTTTGTGAAGCCTGATACTTACATGAGATTATCTTAATATGAGTATTATGACATTTGATTTTTTTTTTTATTATCTACGCTGAATTTACTACATTTTTCAATAAAAAGTTGACGTGATTTTTATATGGATTCGATTATCGGTGCGACTAAAATAGAAGTTTGTGTTTTGCGAAGGCGCCACCATGTTACACAGAGTAAACAACAAATGTTCATTAATATTACTGTCAGACTTAAAAAAAAATGTAAACTATCACTACAGACTAGAGGTTTCTGTACAATACAATGACGCCTCCACCAAGATGAAATTGGCAGTAAGCTTCCCTATTGACGAACTATATGTTTATTCGTAACCTGTTACAGTCGTATATATCCGTTCAGATCCTTTTTTATAGAACAAGCACAGAATTATCTGTGCTTTTTTTTTTTTTCTGAATGTGTTTGCTGTTGGCCGTGTGTGGCCTTTACAGCTTCACCGGACGCGAATGCAGGGGCGAGTGCTGATGGCACTCCAAGCCCGCGAGAGGGGAGCGACAGAGGTGTCGACTCTTTCTTATGGACTGCGAGAATTATCTGTGCTGTACAGCAGTATCCATTGGCGGATTTATTTTTCACGAGGACTGAACCCACTAAAAAAGGGGGGGAAAGGGATTATTAGTAACGGGGTCAAATAGCCCTATTACTAGCAATATACCCTGTCAAGTCGACCTCCACGTGGTTCTCCCTGGAAACCTTCGTGACTAATTCTAGTTTAATTCGTCAGGATGGGCTAACTGACCTACTTTCATCTTCATCTGTCATCCCTCACTGGTGCCCCGCCAGTGTATACCAATAGCGCAGACGGAGTTACCATACCATTATCACCCATAAAAAAAAAAAGTACAGTAAATACAAGAATTATAAACTACATAATTTGGAAATTGATCAAATAAGACCTACATAGTTAGTGCATTACTTCAAAATCATTTTCAACATGTACATTTTACGTGGGAGCAGTGAAAGTGACTTCAGGGAGGCAAATAAAAATCATAATAACTTGACATAACATTATATTTTATTCATGCATCTCAGAATAAATTAAAACAACAATTAATTCTCGTTCATGAAAACCGAAACTACACACTAGCAAACATCTAAATAGGAAAAAGACTAATCCATAAAAATGCAGGAATATGCACGCTTTTTTTTCCATTTCTGCAAGCACTATACAGTTATGTCGTTATATAAATTAGATTCCCGTTTTGTTATAACGGAATTCGGTGACCTCAAGTTAGTGGAGTCTTCGAAAACGTGTTACAAATTTAACCGACTAACGACACGTTTTTATAAAATACATATTTGGTTCTTTTTTTTTTTTAACAGGATCATCATAAAAATTATACATATTTATTCCGTAAGTCACTACATTGCCCCGAAATAACAGTAAATATAGAGACCATATTTTAATTATATATTGAGAGGTCGATTCTGAGGCGCTAATTTCTCTAAACCAAATTTCTATTATAATTTTTTTTATTTGATATAACAACGAAATATTTCTTGTAAGCACCAATACGAATTAATTTTCTAATAGATTTAAGTCAACATTATTATAATTTTAATTAATGATGGTACATAAAATACTAACTGCGAAATTATTAAATAAGTGGATGAAGTCAGTTCAGGACCGTTCCTTATGGGTATCAGGAAGGTCTATGTTCAGCAATGGACAGACAATAGCTGTGATGGTGATGATGATGATGATCAAATTAAAATATAAGTTTAGAGAGATGGCACCTCAAAATCGGTCCTATTGTCTCTAGTAAGAATTAATACTATTGTGCAAATACATACATTAAAAGATGGCGATAGTGAGGTGATGGTTGCGAGTTACATCGGGCTTATTCTTATTTTCATTGGTGAAAAATAAATATTTTATATTCGTATATCGTCATTTTATCGACACTACGCCTGGATGATAGTATCACTTAGGTTAGAATCCACGACATCCTCCCTAGTTCTTCATTATTAATATTTCTCATAATGATTAAAAAAAAATCATTATACAATAATGTACAGGATAAAACCATAAAATATTGTTTGAAACCATTATGTTTAACATAAACACAAAATATTTAAATAATAATATATAAGAGTATTTGTAATATTTTTTTGTATTTTTTTTAAGTAGTGCAATAAAAAGTGAATAAATAAATAAATAAATAAAATATCGATCAACAAAAACCGCCTTCGATCGTGGCTAAATCAATTATTCTGATTTAAAGACTTAAACTACTGAACCGATATGAATAAAACTTTAGCCAATCTGAAAGTAAAGAAGGAATTTTCCAAATCAATAAATAAATGTCGTAGTAATCCGTCATAATAATAAATATCAGTAATAATGTATATTTGTATGATTACATGTAATGTAATTAAATTAATATTGTTTGTTTAAAAATTGTCACAATATTGTACACCGCTCTATCCGCTGACATTGATGCTCCTTTCCACTTTGGGTGTTGCTGGAAGAGAACTCTATCAGAGTTAAACTCGCCTTTCTACATTTGATTACCTCTGTCATATTCTTATAACTGGTGTGTACAATAAAGTATTAAATAAAATAAATAAAAAAAATCAGTGGCAACCATTACACAAAAATACAACCGAAATGAGACTCTCCTGTCTTCTTAAATTCGGTTCAAATTGACATAACCATTATATTAGTAAGATTTTCAAGACTAATCTAATTATTTATAAAAAAAAAAAAATCAACCATAATTCACCAGCACCGTCTTTGCATGTATGATCAATTTGAGATTATTACCGTTCGGAAACTAGACTACCAATACGGCAACGGTAAGCGGCATCTAGTGGTATTTGAGCGACAACGTTGCACTACAATACAACGTCACTAACAAACATCTAACCGTCATTCATTCGTCATCAATTCATCACCTAATATAATATAACCGTCATCAGTCGAAGACAAGCTGCTACATTTGTATTATAATTGTTCAATATTGGATTAATTAATATTCTTTTAAACAAATATTTTTTTTATGCAACTTAGAATGGCAAACAAGCTGACGGCCCACCTGATGGAAAGTGGTAACGGTCGCCTATAGACATGAGCAGTACCATGGACATAACAGAGTATACTGTTTCGCCCATGATACCCCCCATGCGTTGCCATTCCTGAGGACTCAGGTGTTATTCATCTGTACCCAATAAATTCATGCCATACCCACCAAACCAAAACACAGCCATGCAAACACAACTGCTTCACCGTTAAAATACGAATGGGACAGAGGTAGCCAAGCAATCGACTTTTGTACAAAGTCTCCCTCTGGTTAAACAGTTTGAGAGGTTTGTTTTTTCACAAATATGCCAATAATAAATTTGATATGAGAAATAAGAACAAATATTTTCAACAAAATTTGTTGTCAGTTTTAAAAATCTTAAGTTTCGGTGGAAAATAGAGATTATTTTTTATTTCTCATTATAAACTATCACAGATAACAGGACTGCAAGTTATAATTATTCAAAGATATCCCACTGACATGTTAATAAACTAAATAAAAGGCATAACTCCATACACATACGTCAACATGCAGTAACAATTGAAAGAAAACAATTATATGGAATCATGCACCGTGTATTACAACAAAACTAAAATTTTTATCGTATTATTAGTATTTATTATTGGCACTTTATAGAATTTAGATCTCATAGTACTATTAGAGTACTATTTCACAATTTTACATATATATTTACATAGTACAAGACATATTTGTGTCTCATTATGACATTTTTTACTATACGTTGAAGTAAACAAGCTGATGGATCTGTCTGTATGTCGCCAACAGATATGTGTATTAATAAATTTATTTTTTACTTTTTAGTTACATATTTTTAACTAACTTTGCACGGATAGATAGATATAAAGATTTATATAAAGCTTTAATACATAATTTTTTTGATACATTACTGTAATATAATGTCAAAATTTTTTGAGTGAATTTTTATATCAGTTGAGTAGTGTTTGAGTTTGTGCATTACACAAACAAACAATCAATCTAATCTTTCCCTTTTATAATATTAGTATACCTAATATATTCATAATAAATGCTACAATAACACTTTTTTCTCTCACTTTAAATTTATGACCAAAATTCAAGCTTACTATAAATGCAAGATTCATCACGAGATAAAGACATGTTCCATATTTGAATCACTTCAAATAAGTGGCGTCTACACACAATTACTAGGCATGGGTAATATTGATATCGCATCGATATCTATATATCAGTTTCCTTAGAACATTATGGGTGATAAAAGGTTATCATTCAATTAGATATCACCTATACTAGTATATATATATATATATATATATATATATATAGTATTCGACATTTATATTCGTTTAGATAGGGTTTTTCATTTCATTATTATATGATATTTAATTAATGATATTTAATATATCTGTTATTTTTCCAATATATACATATTGTAACTAAAATATATAGATATTGGTATATATGTATATATACCCATCCTTAGGAACTACCTAAGACACAGTAAACGATCAGACTACAATTTTTTGTCACAATAATTGTTAAAAATCAAAACACAATACGTAACAGCTTCGCTTCGACTGGTGCAAACGTAATCAGCGGCGTGTCCGGCGACGGCGCGAGTGTCAGCGTCAGTTGTCCTCTTCGTCATTCTCAAACATGTCGTTGTAATCGCGCGACTGTTCGAAATCTTTCAGCTCCTGAACACAAACGTTATGTTTTGAGAATGAATAAGAATTCAACAGCGTTATATATTATATATAGTTATAGCGACTACGCGGGGCGGGGGGGTAAAGTAGGAAAGGGATATGCTGCGTATATTATTCATTAAAATGATAATGGAATGATTACCTGCGCTATAGGTATACACTGGCGAGGCACAAATAAGAGTCAATTGCTCATCATGAAGCAGGTCCATTGGCCCATCGTGACAGATTTGATAATAAATCAATCACAATGGTTACTAGAGGGAAATGCGTGGAGGTAGACCTAATAGAATATATTGCTAGTAATGGGATTGCTAATCTATATAGATATTAACTATCCCTTCTCATATTCAGGGCAGGGAGGCATATTATATATAACATGCCCTCCTGCCCTCATCTATGTCTGCCACTTCGCCAGAGCGCCGCGCACGTGTATGACGGGCTTATAGCTTATGTTCCGTAACAAGCATTTAAAAAAGCAAGTCTTTAAATAATAATAAAAAAAAATTAAAACATATCTTGTATTTGATTATGAGAGAGTATTGGAAATAACTAATACAGTTGTAATTATCAGATCAACAGCAACTTGAGAATTTTTTTTTTTAATTTTAAAGAGTAAGCTCCCAAAATGTCAGTTGTCATTAGCACATTGTTACACAGAGTATAAAATATGATATGTTTTAAAGCAATATGCAAGGACTGCATGAGTCATAAGTCTGAATATCAAATATTTAAGAGAAAAGTTTACTAAACAAACTCAGCAGTTTCAACAATCCTTAACTGTGATTTTACTATTATGATCACTCCAAAACAATCTGTAGTTTAATAATGGTAAAAAATTCAAAAATTTGACAGAAAATTGCTACGTCGCTTTTCTTAGACAGTGAAAGAGACAGAAAACATTACATTGAGGGTACACATTTCCCCTCTGGTATGTTACACTTATTTTCTGTGAATTGGTAAACATAGTCAATAGTGTTATATGGTTTACCAATTAAATAATATTAACTAATTAATATTAGTATAACATATTCATAAAAATTAACTTAGCCATGACTTTCTATGCCATGGCAAACAAAGAACATCTAGGGGTTTCTTTTTTTTAATAGGCGTTAATAGAATGATAACTTTTTTTTATACAACTTAGAATGGCAAACAAGCTGACGGCCCACCTGATGGAAAGTGGTAACCGTCGCCTGTAGACATGAGCAGTGCCATGGACGTAACAGAGTATACTGTTTCGCCCATGATACCCCCCATGCGTTGCCATTCCTAAGGATAAAGGTGTTATTCCTCAATACACTTTAAATTCATTGTCATATCATTCATTGCCCTTTAAACCAAAACACAACTATGCAAACACAACTGCTTCACGGTAGAAACACGAATGGGACAGAGGTACCCAAACAATCGACCTTTGTACAAAGTCTCCCTGTGGTAGGCTATAACTAGGTATGGATACCAATTTATATATATATATATATATATATATATATATATATATATATATATATATATATATATATATATATATATATATATATATATATATATATATCGGGTCCTTCTGGACTGAATAAGGGTCATCACCCATTTCAAAATCACTTATACCGGTAGGATATCTATTTTCGAGTATGTTAAAAGTGTGTTACTCAATATAATTTTTTGGATAACAGCTTTTTTAACATATTCGTTATTGAACCAGTATACAGATATTGTAACTAAAATATATAGATATTGCTATATATTTACCCATCCCTAATGGTAACCTTGCTTTTTTTAATGATAATGGAATGGTAACCCCACCCGCGCTGTCGGTATACACCGGCGGGGCACCAATGAAGGATGATAGGTGAGGATAAAGTAGGTCAGTTAGCCCAACGTGACGAATTCAACAAGAATTGTTCACGATGGTTTCCAGGGGGAACCGCGTGGAGGTCAATCTAATAAGGCATATTGCTAGCAATGGGGCTGTCAAACTCTATTGCTAACAATCCCTTTCCATCTGGTAACCCTGCTTGCTTACGCTGACCAATCACTAGTGGGAAATGGTAGGTGAGGATGAAACATGTTAGTTGGCACAGTGATGAATTCATAAGAAATGGTAGATAATTTCCAAGGGGAACTGAAAGTCATGATAGAGTTGATAGATCCTTACAATAATGAATTCATCTAAACAACTCAGCATCCATACCCCGAGCTCATTTAGAACATTTCCAAGCGAGAATCGAATCCTATATCTCATTTACGCAAAGCAATGACAAGAATTACTACCTTACAGAACTCGGTAAATGTAATATGGACTGATGGATAGATAAATTCTAAGTCTAATTATTTTAAACTTAAAATAAATACCATAGTACTCATTGATAATGTAGCATTCTATAGGTAAAAGATTTTTTTTTAAATTGTTTAAATATTTTTTAAGGTTAAAAAAATAAAAAATCAACTCTTTCCTCTTTATATGTTTAGAAGTTTAAATTAACTATGCCCAAGACATTGTTCGCATGACTACAGTACGTTTTGGTTCGCAAGTGAAATCAAGAAGCTATAGGACAATGACGAAAAACAACACATTTAGTAGCACATTACTTTTAAAATATTTAAATTTAGAACGCTGTACGTCTTTCTAATTAAAAAGGAAGAAGAAAAAAACTATAATCATAACTAGCTATTTTCCCGCCATTTTGTATGCGCGGTTTTTAGAAGTAGGAAATGAAACCGCATCCAATTTAGTTCTACAGTATTAACGTGGTGCCAGAATAAACATATGTTACTGATAGACAACATTTTTAAAAATCATTGTTTTGGTATCTATTGGTCTTATTAAGATCATTGATAACATTTTTTCTTAAATATCTCTCATGTACAGACGTCGTTGAGGTACAATTTTATTATATTTGTTGGCAATCGAAATACTGAGTGCCGATAGCAGAACAAGAAACAAGGGCGACCCTGTCGTCGGGTCTCTATGTTGGGCTCCGATAATGGCGAGATGACGAGATGTTTAAACTACAGAAACAGTGACACATAGTGTTCTTTCTACGTATTTGTTACCATTCGTTTGTTTATAATAATTACATCCCGTTTGAAACTAGTGCTGATAGTAGCTCCTTTGTTTTGGAGCTTTAGGGCATTTTTTTATTGAACCGCGAAATGAACACTTGTGAAATATAAAACTGTAATAGAGTTAAGGACTAAATATTTTAATTCAATGTTTTAATCATGTAGAATTGTTATTTAGTTAATAAATTATTTCTTTAAAGTCTCTTGTATCTAATACATTAGTAAGATGTAAAAATAACTACTCACTTGGAACATTCCATTAGCAACCGCATACCCGGTCATGGCAATGGCGGCAAATAGTGCTGCCAGTATCTTGTTGCGGGTCTGGTTTGGAAAGTTGGCCGCTTCTTTATCTGACTGTGTTCCCGTTGAATGTTTCTTTGCATTTTGTTTATTATATTCTAAAAAAAAATTATATTAATTACTATAAAAGTATGTCACAATTGAAATCTCTGTACACTGTGGTCAATCTATATTAACATCTGTCCACCGTTTACCATAGGCCTACCCCGTAAACTGCCATAAGGAACTGGTTCTGAGCCACCTGCGTCCACTGATTCCCTGAGACGCATTTGAGGTTGTCACTCCATCTAGTGAGAGGCCATCTTAAATTAGTTTCCTCATATGGGGTTGCCACTCAAGAAACTTTCTTTCCCATCAGTTATCAGTTCCTCACTCTAATGTGACCAACCTACTGCCACTTTAGGATTTACCAATATGAGTTGATAAATGTAAAGATTTTATTAAAAAAAGACCATTTTTAAACTTATCCTTTGGGCTATGTAGGTCACTTTGATTCTTCTGTGGATATCCTCATTTCGGATACTATCACGCATAGAAACTCCGAACATAGCTCTCTCCATAGCTAACTGAGTAACTTGAAGCTTTGCACACGAACAATCATGTCAGATCATGTTTCAGTTACGTAGGTCATATGTTGTAGTGGTTATTTTGAAATATTGTAATATTGAGTACTTATTGCATATTGTACCAAAACTAAAGATGTATTCAGAAAAATCAGTTTCTCGTAAATCAAACACCTAAATTAAATAATAAACATTACAAGTTAAATATATTTAAGTTTAATTTAAGTTAAGTATATATTTAATTGTGTATATATTATATATGTATGTGTATATATGTATGTATGTATCTATATATGTTTGTATATGATAATATTTATATAATAGTGCGCCACCTACTCTTTGTCTTTTTCTCAATGTCCTTTACCCAAAGGTTGTCTGGAAGAGATTGCTTAGCGATAAGGCCGCCTTTTGTATCACTTCTCATTAATATTTACTGTATTTGTTATTTCTCTTTTTACTTGGTGCAATAAAGTGTAAATAAATAAATAGATGCTTGTAATAATAATAAAAAATTACCATCTGTAACATGTCTGAAATTCTTCTGGTTGATCCTAGCCACAAACCTTGACAAATTGGCTATGCCCTTGACTTGATTCGACAGTGTGGCGTTAGGGAATGGTGCTTTAACTAACGGTGCCAAGTACGCGAACACAACTGCATCAAATGACGACGGCCGGTTACCGAAGAAGTATTCACTCTCTCCCAGCCTGTCTGATAGAGTTTTAAGGCACTTTTCCGCTTCACTGTATATCTGAAAGTTTTAAACTAAATATTTTAATTATATTATTATTAACAATGAATTTTTATTTACTTATAGTTGACGCCACAGTTGTTTTAGCTGGCAGTGCTATAATATACATTTGTAAAATAGGTATGCGAACGAAAGAAGGAACTATTTATCATAAATATTTTAAATAATATTGATCTATCCAGTGCTGAACAAAGGTGTCTTCGACAGTGGGTATGTCTCCATACAGTACAGTAAATATGCGTTGGGAAAGCTGACAGTTTCAAACAGCAAAATTTTATTTTAATTTTCTTTATATAGTTCTAACATTACTATAAAAATTTTGTTACTAACACATCATATGGATGTAAGTCTAAAATAAAAATTATTACATGCCTCCCCCATAGACTGTCATAAGGAAAGAGAGCTTTCCATTTTACAGTTTACCATTGGGACGATTTTGCCAGTAGTTGCTAGCTTGAAGTACTATATTCAGTTATATACTTGATGAAAATGTAAACAAACAAATCTCATGCATTATTCACTACTGTATTGGTACATAGGGTTCGTATTCTGCTGCAATGAATGATTGTACTTGCATTCATCAACTACATACAACACATTATGTATTATCATAATTAATACTAATAATATTGTAAACAGTGCTTATCATAATTAATGACAATATCATTAGACAACATAATTAATAAGAGTTAGAGAAAAGACCTAAGTGAGTCAATGTAAACAATAATAATTTAATAATTATTACAAATATGGAAGGAATGAAAGTATTTTTTTATGCAAATTAGAATGGCAAAAAAGCTGACTGTCACCTATAAACATAAATAGTACCATGGACATAACAGAGTATACTGTATCACCCATTATACCCTTCATGAATTGCCATTCCTGAGGTCTAAGGTGTTATGCCTCTGTATCCTTTAATTTCACTGCCATATCCCACCCTTTAAGCTGAAAAATAGCTATGTAAACACAACCGCTTCACAGCAGAATCACAAATAGAATAGAGGTATAATAGAGGCAGATGACTTTTGTACAAAATATCCAAAATATTGTACATAGCTGTACAAAACATTGTACAGTATCAGTTGTATCCATAACTTTTTGAAAATGGAACATATTGATTGAACAAAAAATTAAATTTACAAAAAGTTAAAACATCTTTTGAATTTTCTGTATAGATAAAGAATATGAAAAACTGTACCTACATTTTAAGTAAGTTTAATAAGAAATAAAGAGAAGGAAAGAACTAAGTATACATATACATGTGTAAGTCATATTTTTAACTAGTTAAATTAGTACAAATATACAATTTTTTATAAATTCTATAATCTTACGAATATAATAAAATTTTAACTAAAAATTATCTATACATGGGAGATAATTAACATTATTATTAAAAAATTTGTCTGACTGATTGTTCTGACATCAAACAAAAATTATTACACCAAATTGGATGCAATTTTCACAGATGTACTGAAGGCCCAACCTAAAAACTGGTGTATGATTTATCTTAATATGCCATTTAGAATAAATCTGTTGTATTGGTTTTCCAACTTCTGAAATACATGCATAGAATGGAGCAGCCAAAAAGTAAGTATTAATGATAATAGTGTTAAATTGTAGTATGCAGTAACATCTTATACAACAGACTTTTTGTCACTAAATAAAATTTGTGTAGAAAATAATTTAGAAAATTGACAAAATATTACAGATAGTTTTTTTTTAGTTTTATAAGAGAAAATACTATCAATATATAGTACTTATATAGTATCAAAACAAGTAGTACTGTAATTTAAATGAGATTCCATCCCTCATACAATCTTTTATTTATGTAACTGCATCACTTAGTCACAACAAACTTAGTTATATGAATTAAAGCATCATCAGAGATCCAAATTAGACTTTACATAAAAGTTAGAATAACATAAATATATACTTACAGTCTTTTCAATCTCCCTTAAATCAGTATGTTCACCATATAGTGCATCAATCATTTCTTTGGCAGCATTCTGATATCGTGATGGATAATAGAAGTTGAAGGGGATGCGTAAAGCTTTAGAGTATGCAGGCCGTGTCACATCACTATAATTCTTCTCATCCACCCACCATGTGTACTGGTATGCAGGGTACAACTTGTCACGGAGGTACTGTGTGAACGCACTCGCTTCTGCAGCTTGCATTGTGTTTAAGTGGACATCCGTACTGTAATGCTAATATGACATAAGAAAAGTATCAGACAAATTATTATTATTCTTAATTTTGTAAAATTCTTTTAAACGTATTTTAATATATTGTGTGCTAGTTCTTTATATGCCTCACTTCTGAGATATTAATGCAGTTTAGTAACGGAATACAATGAACCATTTAAATAAGAATTAACAGTGGGGGAAAATTCTTAAATAAGAGACATGAAATACTATATACTATATGACTCTGATACTAAACCAATTAATTTAATTATTTTAAATCATTCCCCTAAAGCATAATTACCAAGGATTTCAAATAGTCGACGACTTCTTCAAAATTCGTGAGTACATTCCGTCCGTCTCTCATAACAGGCAGTCTTCCCTTTGGTGTGAAATATGGATTGTTAGCTTCTCGTACTCGAACTGGTACACCGATAAATTTCATATAGGTCTGCGAATTCAAAAGGAAAGATGCATTACCGGCTCATTTCATTATATAGTCGTAGTTGAGGTTATAAATAATACTAACCAAAACTTTCAAACATTCCAAATCAATAGATGCAAGACCCCACTCTCCTCGCCAAATATCTAGGTCTATACTAGCCATAATTAAGTATTTACTACCAAAAATATATTAAGAAAAATTTCATAATAAAACGAGTTGAACATTGAACGATCAACATTTATAGACAATCGACAAAATATGACAGATAAAGTAGAGAGACACTTTATGAGAGCGATATAAAAAAGAAAATAGAAGAAAATGTAACAATCAGATAAAATGTCATTACAGTCAATTGGAATAATAAAATTTTAGATTGAGTATGAATACTATCCTTAATTTAAGACTATGTAGGTAAAGACAACCACGTTATACAATCAAATTTTTTGTGCAAATATCTTTACAATATTTTCAAAAATGCTTATTAAACCAGGATGAAGAGAGTTCATAACTTTAACTTGATGAAGTACGGAAACATCAGGATTATCTTCAGTTAATTTTCAAAAATAAAGAATTTTCAATATTTTTAACTAATAATTAAAAAATACACTTTTGCCTATGAACTGAAATATTATACATCCAATTTTTTACGTTGTCACTAAAAATTTGTTTTTAATGGCAAATAATTATTTGAAAAATTCCAAAGCAAAATGTTAGTAGGTGCATAGTTTTGGTAATATAATTATATACGCCGTATTCTATGATTAACATTTATTTTGTTGACAGAATACTTTTAAACATTCAATCAAAAACATTAAAAAAATATTCAATTCCTTTTGAAAATAGATAATTACGACGTTGTTATATTTTGTATATATATTTTGCTCTTAAGCAGACAAGAGCGCATAATTTGCCGCGTGTGGATGTTTACTGGAATCTTTGGTAATTAGGTGAATCAATCACTATCGCCGATAATTTATATTCGTAGTGATGCAATCTTATGCAATTACTGTAAATAATGAATAAAAGAGTGCACTTTTATTCTTTGTCTATGACCCAGGTGGGAAGATTATTTTTATCCACAGACATATTATGTTTATGTATTTATTTTGTATCATGTTGCTAACATCGTCCAGTATGTGTAACTTCAAATAAAAAAAGTTTGGATGAAATTTATACAATGAGTTCATTGATTTTGACACTTTTACACTATAAACTAGATAAATGTTTTATGATATCTACTAATATCAATATTTCTGATAGAGATATATTATAAATATTTGTACATTACTATGATTATCCATTTATAATATTTTATTATCCTAAAACTTCTAGGTGGTTACATAGCCCGTTTTCCAGTTTTATCTGTGTGAAGACAGTGCCGATTCTTATTTAATGTTTGAAATTGGTTTTGGTGACTTTGTTATTGTGTTTCACTTTCATCTTTCTATTTTTGGTTTTGTCCACGATATTTAAAAAATATAAAATATTACAACTAAGTGGCCTCTGTCTTCAGATTTACTTATTTATATATCCATTTTTATGTGTTATACGAAACGTTGATTAATCGTACCAATAATAAATATAAATTAAAAAAAGATTTCATCAGCATTCTCAGATTTCACCGGCAATCGCAAGTATCTAAACTCAGAACAAAATGTCTATACAATGGACATTTATTGCAGGCTATCTGTACTTCGAAATTGCGCTAGTTACAATAATGATGCTACCAATTTTTAGTCCAAGACGTTGGCACCAGTTCTTCAAGTCGTCATTGTTTTCCATGTTCCAGTCCCATGCAGCCGTATATTTTTACGTATTTCTGGGTATTTTAGGAGTATTCTTATTAGATGCTATTAGAGAAATGAGAAAGTATTCGCATTCTAATGATGGTGGCCATGTACACCTCGCCAGTGAGATGAAGGGCAATGTGAAGCTGTTCAGAGCTCAGAGGAACTTTTACATTACCGGCTTTGCTATATTTTTGACATTTGTTATAAGACGTCTTATCACTATGCTGATAATTCAAGATGAACTAAGTATTAAGGCAGAGAGGATTATTAAACAAGCAGATGATACTGTAAAACTAGCTAAGCACACAGTTTTGGCTAATACAATGAGAGCATCAGAGTCACAGAATTATGAGGAAGTGAAAAATGATTTGGAAAATACATTAGCTTTGTTGGAGGAAGAAAAAGAGAAAACACATCAATTAGAGAAGGAAGTCACAAAATGGAAGTCAAGGTATGAAGAAGTCACCACTAGTGGACAAGGTGATAACTAATTATTATAAAATCAGATGTAATTACTTTCTGTGGTTAGAAATAAGAACTGAAGAGAATTTGTTGTGATTTCTGGAACTGGTGCTGAATTGTAGCTAAAGGTTTCCCTATTATTAGTTATATAAATGTGCTAGTCTGCAAATTTTAATACTACATTGAAATAGCTTTGCTGATCCAGCAGTGTATGTGTAGGACTCACTTCAAAATATAGATATGTTTATGTCACATAGAATTGTTTTTTTTTTTATGGAATTAAAAACAAATAGGCTGTTGCTGCTGTTGACCCATTTGATGCAAAGTGCCAATCATCTATAGATATAAACAGTAATATGGGTATCACAGAATAGAAACAATTAGAACTATAAACATGTGATATTTATTCAAAGACTGTTCTGATTATTTGAATGTTGGTTATTTATTATCTTGTTCAATCAATATTAAATATTATAAATTTCAATATGTGTATATATATTTTTTTTCTCTATTAGGACTGGAATACTTTTAAGAATTAATTTAAAAAAAAACTGTAATATTAAAAATATGTTTTTTTATCATTCATAGATATATTTTTTTATTATTTGTAATTAGAACAGCATATTTTTGGCTTACATTCTAATTATAGATTATTTTTTGCAATTCTTACACCACTATACCATAATGCTTAAGACATTAATTGTATGATAATAATTCTGCTAATGTTAAATATTGTACTTATAATATTACCTGCTTAGGCTTAAATCATTACTCTTGGCCTTAGATAATTCATGACAGTATTTTTAAGAGATTTATTATTTTGTGCAGTGTTATGAATTAAAAAATTGGTTTTAATTATTCTTTTGTTTTATTTATTATAAGTCCTTATATTCCATAAACTTAGTATCTATACTAATATTTAACTAAAAATGTATGAAGGCAATAATGTCAGAAAAATACTTGAACCATTTTAATCAAAAGCCTATAGTTTATACTTTGTATAACATTAGATAATACATATAGGTAGTTATGTTCACGCAACACCAATGCTTGACAATGGGAGGCATTTGTTGACTTAATTACCTCTATAAAATGCTTACAGATATATATAAATTATAACTTATAAATGTATGAATGAGGACTACTATGAAGGATTAACACTTTTAAATAATAAAATCAAAAACCGGTTAGGTGCGATTTAAACTCGCATCCCAAGGGTTCCGTATATATATATGCTGTATAGCATTAAGTCCGCCTTTTGTACCAAAAATTTTTTGTAATTTATTTTTTTATTTATTTTATTTGTAATTTTGTAATGTGGTCAATAAAGAACAAATAAATAAAATTATTGCATTTCTCATGCAAAATAGACACCTAATAGTATAATTGATACTACACTTCGGAATTTCTTGATTTGAATTTTGAGTCATAATTGTGGTTAAAATTTGGACTGCATAACTAAGTTTCTTAGCTAAGTTTGTTTGACAAAACAGTGCTACTACAATTGACTGACTGAAACTTTATTTTTCCAGTAATATTCACAAATATAATATAAATATAATTCCGTGTAGTCCCGGCACAGAATAAGCTACCCTTTCCTTTCATGTGGGTGTCGTAAGATGTTCTCCACCATTAAATGACCTTTCGAGTGACTAAGGTCATTTAATGGCCGAGGACTGGGCAGCACTTTCCTTCTTAAAACATAACCAAACCCTATGGTTTTTCTTTAATAGATGATAATGGAGTGGAATAAGAGCAAAGGAGCGAAAAAAGATTGATGCTCTCGAGATATGGTCCTGGGAAGATGCTGCGAATTTCCTGAACAGCAACGCGCACGAATATATGCATCCTGGCGCAACTCCGAATAAAAGATAGGTTCTTGACAGCCTGCTGTCGGAGGATTCTCGGATACTTCGGTCATATTGCTCGTCGATAATTGACAACACGATGTTCAGTAATGAAGTGAACGAAGAGAGATAGAATGGAATGGTAACCCCGCCTGCGCTAGTGGGGTACCAGTGAGAGATAATCGGTGAGGATGAAAAGGGAGATCAGTTAGCCCATCGTGATGAATTCAACAATAATTTAGTCAAGATGGTTTCCAGGGTGAACAGCGTGGAAGTCGATCTGGTAGGATATATTGATATCAACGGGGACTAACCTCCCCTTTGATGGGGGACAGGTTTTCGATCATAACTCTTAAATTAAGTAACATAAAAATTTGTTTTACAATGTACAAACGAAGCGCTTTCGTATGATACTCCGCTTAGTAGACTAATTTTTAAATATTGAGTACTACTTTTGAACTATAAGGATTCCTTTGTGATTGGGTATGGAACCCTAAAATGTACCAGTAATATAATATATAGATTTTAGATTACAGAGGCTATGACATATACATTAATTCTTTTTCTATGATTAATATGTATAATTTTTTGTTCCGTTCTCCAGGTTTCCCCAAAGTTTTCCCTTATAGAGCAAATCTGACAATGACAATACTGACATTGACAGTTGACTGATAGAAAATTTTTCATAGGTGATATGGCTGTTTATAAAACTTTAAATAATTTCATATAAATCTTAAATCTAATTTGCTTTCATAGGTAATTTCTAATTTATTAATTTTGGATCCCTTTAGAAGGAAATAAAGAATTATAAATTTAGAAACTATTAGTATGTATCATAATAATAGTTGAATTAACATTATTATACGAAGTTGCTGTTGTTGTTGTTAAAAAACTTACTAATTAGAGACACCGTTACTCTTTATTTATGAATGTGGGAATCTTCAACATAGTCAACCATAAGGTAAGTATTATGTTTATATATAAACATCCTAATCGCAGTTTATTAAACAATATTTTTTTTAATAATTACAACATAGTTTATAACGAACTTACATATTTTGCAATTTGTATTAATATAATGAGAAGGCGTATTAGTACACACAATATATCTCATTACACTACTAGCTTATATAGTTATGCCTGCGTGTCTGTACAGATCTATTTTATACTAAGTTTTTTTCTTCAATCTGTGTATTTAAAGTCCTATGGGTATCCACTGACCAAATTTCATGTCTATGGATAATTCAAAGTTAAATTAAGAACCTCAACTTTTTAAAATTTTATTGAGTAAGCTTTAAGGCTTTTAAGCTTTTTTAAGTTTTCCTCATTTGTCTTGTAATATTTTTTGTAGCCACACTGATTTGGCCAGTGATACACAAATTTCAAATCTTTTATGAGTAACATTACATACAATGGATGGGTGAAAGCCAGAATCACTTGTTTATATTAGTTGAAAATTTGTCTCTGACAAATTAATGTGATAAACTTTACATACAGATATATGAGGCTGGTATTGTCATACATGTGATTTGAAATTCTCAACAAAAATGTGGTGTGTTTTAGATTAAGGAGAGTGGCGGCATGTATGAAGAATGGAGCTCATTGCCACTGGAGGGTGGAGGGAGAGGTGTGTTGGGTGCGGTGGGTGGCCGGGATGTGGTGCTGGCGGTCATGAGGCAGCTGGCTTCTCATGAGCCAAGCCCACTTACAACTGATGCAGAAGTCAGTAGCATATTTAAATAGCTTACACTCTATTATTTCAAAAACATTTATTTCTATTTTATAATGATATTAAGAAAACACTAGTGTTTAACATTTCTAAGTGTAATATAAAGATATAGATTATCATATGCTGTTATGTACTTTTTGAACCATAAAGAAAGTAACAGTAATTTTTTAAATGATTAAGTATAAATTTGTAAATTTATTTTTGAAGGTACTAAATATAAATAAGTACTGTAGTAAAATACCTTTTATATTTGTACATGGAATGTGGTCAGAATTATAACCTGAGATAATAAATGGATGGTGCATGATGTGTGTGTGTGTGTGTGTGTGTGTGCAGGTGGAGTGGGTGCTGGAGGTGGTGCGGTACGGGCTGGGGCTGCCGCTGAGCGAGCACGAGGCGCTGCGCGACTGCGTGCGCGTGTGCTGCGCGTGGCTGGCGCCGCTGCTGCCGGCCGCCGCGCCGCCCGCGCCGCCGCCGCCCGCCACGCCGCCGCCCGTGCGCGCGCACCCGCACCGCTACGCGCGCAAGATCCTGCGCCACCTGCAGAACCTCTTCCTGCCGCGCCCCGACGAGAGTAAGCCCCTGCCCACACTTCACTCTTACCATTCATGTTCTTCTAGAGCTACTCATATGTAGGTCGATGTGATTTAAAAAGGTTTGTCGACCCCCATATGATGGAGATGTTAAGTAAATTTTTATATGTAGCTTTTACATTTTATATCTCGTCAACATTTTGCATACTTTGTTTAATAAATTAACAAGGT